TCTATCTATCTATCTATCTATCTATCTATCTATCTATCTATCTATCTGTCTGTCTATCTATTATCTAGTTTGCCATCCATCTATCTATCTGTGGATGGATTAACATTGTTCTTGCTCTTGATTGCAGCTGGATGGCTCCCGGCCCGTCAGTGTGGGTTGGCTTTGTTAATATCTAGCATGTGATTGTTTCTAACCTGTTCCTAAAACAATCAAACCGCCGGCTAAATCCTGTTCACCAAGCACTCTCTGGCTGTTAACATTTTTAGCTGGAGTGACTCTCCTCATTACAAATCAGTAGGACAACATGCTTTGCTTCTTGTCCATGTGTCACTCAGTGATTGTCACCGCTAAGGATGGACTCCTCATAGAAAAACATCATGGTCAGAATCGCTCTTCCACACATTCATGAGCTGTTTAAAAGATGTCGAGCCCGACTGAGCTGCTTTTCCGTGGCCTGCCATCATAACTCATTTTGTTGTAGCGTTTATCGTGGAGTAGCATGTTATTTGTCAGACAGGTCTGCAGTATGGGGACCATGGGAACCATCTCACTCTGTCCTCTCTCATCCACATCCATATGTAGATCTTCAGTGGCAGTCTGTCCCTGAGCAGCAATGTCACTTCTCCGCGCTCTACGGTAAACATTTCATCTCATCTCAGCTCATTTCAGCTTTTTATCCTTCCGATGTTTATTGCTGTCAGAATGTTTACAGCAAAGAAAGTCACGCTGAATGCATTTTCACTCAGATTTAATGCTTTATGAAAGATGTGCCTTCTAAATGAAGGATAAGAATACCATTAAGAAACTTAAAAAAGCCTTAAATGTATCCTTCCATCAAGTTTAATCTGTGCGGTAATAGCCAGTAAAGCTGGTGCCTTTATAATGCCTGATTTTTAAAAAAAGGGAATGCACAGGGTGGCTTATAGTATAAATTTAACTCAGACACGCATCTTTTAGTTACCCGGATTGAATTAAGCTCCACTCAAAGGAACAGATAGCAGAAACTGTAACATTTGTTCTGTTGTTTGTTGATGGTCAGGCTTTCATCTTCAGGATTTTTGCAATCCAAAATAGAAAGGATTGGATTGCTCTGTGTCATTTTATACTTTTTCCACTTTAAATCTGAACTCTGTTGTATCATATGCAGGCCTATATTAGTTTGGATAGTTTCCATCATTCTTCAGATGAGAATTTCCATTGCAAGCTGTTAATTCCATACTGAGTTCTGGCCAAAATGGATTATTAATCTTTGAAGCCACAGAAGATACATTTTTAATAGAGGAGATTAAATGCTGAAGAAATCTCCCTAATTCACGATTTTACGAAAATATAATATTAAACATGTTCAGTTCAGGAACTAAGAACGACAAATTTTGGTCAGATTTCACTGCTTCAGATATCACCAGGACAAGAATGAATGCCACGATGACCCCTTTGAGTTCCTACCAGAGAGGTTATGTATGACATGCTATCATCCATAACTCTCTTTATTAGTTAGCTCAATCTAATCTTACAATCTTATGAACTATATTTAGATAGTCATTTCAGATTATTACATTTCAGCAGTGGGCAGCATAACGGCTTGATTTAAGCCTAATTTAAGTCACATAGTACATGCTCATTGTACAGATGATGAAGCATGTTGGGATGGATCAGCGATCTTCAGCTGTATAATTACTGTTGACATTAAGACACAATCATCTGGCGACTCCTTCTAAGAAACCAGTGATGAACTCCTGTGCATTTTTAGTAACTCCAGAAATCTTATAAAGTCATTTGAGGCGGCAAAAGCTTATCAGGCTGTTGCTAGACAGAAAAGACGTCAGTTGCCTAACTGCTTGTTGTTTTTGTGTCTGTGGACTAATCGCTGACAACACTAAAGGATACAGTAGTGCTAGCCTTGTCCTCAAATGTCTTCTCTGTTAGTCTTATTTTGCATGACTGGCTGCACGTGCTGTGTAACTCTTGATAAGTTACAACGTAGATTTAATGAGACAAATAGTGTGCACCGAGCTTTCAAAACCGATTCAACTTGTCAGTATTTACTGCAACAGCTAATCTTAAGGCCGGGATAAGGCCCAGTCTTTTTCAGACACTGAGAAAAATGCTGTGAATTGTTACGTTGTGCAGACACTACTGACAAGTGCCCTGGTCAGAAATATGTTTGAGGTTTTTAAGAGATGAGCCTGTGGTCTGTGGGACCTGTTTCCTCGTACACAGCGATGCAGCAGCCCCTCCACACCCAGCGGAATCCTGTCCCCAGTGGGACACTATTCTGGAGACGGACAGCTACACTGGGAGGAGAGACAAGGCCAGTGGCTCAGGAGACGCAGGCTGGACGGGGCTATCAACAGAGTCCCCATGGGCTTCTACCAGAAAGTGTGGAAGATCCTACAGAAGTGCCACGGCCTGTCCATCGACGGATACGTGCTGCCCTCCTCCACCACAAGAGAGGTTACATGCTGCTGTTCAAGCTCAAACTTGGACTCTATGTGTGTGTTTGTGCGTAGTTTTTTTGCTGGATACTTTGTTTTTCTGTGCAGATGACAGCGGGGGAGATCAAGTTCGCCGTGCAGGTGGAGTCCGTTCTGAACCACGTGCCTCAGCCTGAGTACCGGCAGCTGCTGGTGGAGACGGTGATGGTTCTGGGCATGGTGGCGGACATCGACGTGGACAACATTGGCGGGATCATCCATGTGGATCGCATTTTGCATCTGGCCAACGACCTTTTCCTCAATGACCAGGTACTGACATGGAGGACAGCAAAGTGACGAGATGTTCGATTGGTAATGTTTGTGTTTGTTCATGGAGATTCTCTCTGTTTTCTGTTCTGTCTGAATCTCAAGAATTCGCTCAATGCCGGTGATTACTTTCTTGAGAAGGACCCAGCGACGGGGATTTGCAACTTTTTCTACGACAGCGCCCCAAGCGGCAGCTTCGGCACCATGACCTATCTCTCCAAAGCAGCTATCACATACGTCCGAGACTTCCTGCCAAGTTCCAGCTGTCTGATGCAGTGAAAAAGAGAGATGTTTCTCCCTGCCAGCGTCGGACACGAAGCATTTAAAGTAACATGTTTTACAACTGAAAGCATCCAAAAGTATGCTGTGCTTTACAGGTTCAGTTCATTTTGTCATCATGAGTCTGCTTTGTGGGTCATGTTGCTGCAATACAATAAGACTTTAAATACATATGTGTACTTGAATGATATGTCCTTAACAGCTTTTTGGCTTATAATTTATTTCCAATCATGATGCATTACCCATTAGTTATCAGCTTGAATATGTGAATAATTACTGTGCACAAATAACTAATTATTTCTTTAAAAAAATGTATTTTCTTGCAATATTATCTGCTGTTTAAGCTGTACTTTAAACTTATGATTTATTGTTCTAGTATAAAGGCTGTACTAAATAGTGACAAAAAAAAGATATACGAAATATAGAGTATTTAAAAAACTTGTGGTCCCTTTAAATGTCAATGTTCTGTCAATGTTAAACAACTCTAATAGTAACCAACAGAAACCAGAGATAACCTGAATCCTGAGATGTTTTTGTCGTCATGTGTATGTATTGTGTGCCTTGTCTAAATTTGAATGCTACTACTAATTATGGAACTGACATGTCCAGTAATCATTACCTCATCATACTAAGGGTTTGTTCATTTTCTTAAATAATTTGTAACGTGTAACCGTGTATTTATGTCATGCCAGAGCCCAATGCTGGAGTACACTGTGCCCTTCAATGGGACCGATTGCTAATAGTTGAACATTATTGAAACATTTCTAATAACCTGACATGCTTTCCATTAAATAAATACAATGATTAATTTAAATGCGATGGTCTTGATTTACACATGGACTATGGAACAGAAATTACAGTCGAAAGGTGTGCTTACAGAAAAGTAAAAGTTAAGATATCTTTCTTAAAAAGTAAGAAATTTAAGGAGCTGTAGCTGTCAAAAAAGGAGTCGAGGGCTAAAAAGCCACCACTGAGACATGAGGCCTCCACTAGGAGGCGAGAAAGAGACAGACAAAAGGCATAAATGTTTCTGAGCAGTAATCTGAGGCATCATGTGAAACAGCTGTGTCATCTGTTCACTCTGTAGTTGCAGCCTGCTGTTATATTTCAGGATCTTTATCTGTGCCGAAACAATGTGAACATAGATATACTCGGCATGCTTCGGCCTAACTTCTCCTAACATCAAATTAGGTGAAACAAAAGGAAAGGACATATCTTTTTAAGTCTCAGCTTCTCCGGCATGTGTCTGTCTTCTCCGGGCAAGTATCAGGAACATAGATCTGCTTTTTGCTGAAGCCATCCAGTCCAGAAAAGGTGGGGTAAACTTATTATTATTGCTGACTTTGACCAGTCAAATGCAAAACATGATTCATAACAGTGAACAAGCAGTCTCAAAAGCAGATGTTTGTGCAGTGAGATGTTAAAAATATGTGCCTCCACAACAACCGTCTGTGAAGTGGTTACCAGTTTTGACAGCACAGGTGTGAAGGGGAAAGCTGTGGGTTTTCTCAGATTTGGAGAGCAAAGCCTATAATTTGCAGCAAGAGCAAACAGGTGCACAGTGGGAATGAGGGAAGTGGTTTAAAAAACGTTTTTTTTTTGTAAATAAAAAATTGGTGTAGAGAAACAACACTCTGCCTGCCACTGACCATCATTCCCCTCATTCCCCTCTTCTTCAAATCAGAGCTTTGGTTTACAAAGGCAAAGAAATCTTAAAAAGTGCAAGTCAATTTACCCAAAACTGACCAAACAAGCATCTTGTCTCTGAATGGGAATTTTCAAATACGCATTTCTTTTTACAATGATGTCTTATGGGGACACTTTTTAGAGCAGAACAGACACTTTGCCATCTAAACAACCCAGTCTGTTACACCACGATTCCTTATTTAAAACGTGTGTACTCATTGTGCTCTTGTAGACTGTCATGGTCCAATTAAATGTTACAATTAGAAAAAAGGAATAATACCTCTAAGAGAACAGCACTGAAAACTGAACACATTTGATCTTGATAGTCCAACCTCGTTTATTGCCAAGGAAAAGCTAAAGGATAATTTAATTCATTGTTTTTGTTTATTTGGATAAAATCGAACAATGGAATGATAAACTATGTTTCATTTAATAAAAACAACCTAATATTTTCTGCATATAAAGCATATGTAAAATGTGTGTATACGTGGCTGAAGGAAGGAGCTGTGCAGCTCATCCAGCGGCGTTTGGGGTTGTCCTCAGCAAACATTTCTTCCAGCTGTAGGAGGACAGGCGATGGCTGGCTGGACATGCACATTTATATCCTCCTTTTGTATTCACACACGAATGGGAGCATCCTCCATTCTTTCGGTGGCACTCATTGATGTCTTGGACGGAGAAACGGAAGGAAAGAGGAAAAAGACGTTTTTCAAACTTCAGAACTTCAACTTGATGGACAATAACTGTTAAATAACTGTTCACATTGTAGCTTTCTCCATCTACTATCTCTGTCCTAGCCGATTTTTCCTTGAACTCAAGCATAAGAACTACTTGCTCGTTACAAAGCAACAGGTCCGAATCGTCCTATTCTCATTTTAGCCAGTGTCAATTAATAAGCCCAACTTAAACAACAAACAGAAGTGGGAGCGCTTTGTAGAAAAGTGGTTGATAATGCTAAGATAAGCCCTTTCGTTGTGTGTTGTTGCTGGACAGATGTTTCTGATGTGGGTTGGTGACTACACTGACCCTTGCAGTGTCGCCCATCTCCTAGAAGCGTGTATCCACGGGGGCAGATGCAGCGGTGGGAGCCTGGCAAGTTGATGCACTGAAACTCGCACACTTCCTCCAGGCACTCGTTTATATCTGAGGATTAGAAAAAGGAAACTCTGAATACAAGAAAAAAGGAGAATTAAAGGTGCATAGACATGAAAGAGGTTTTCTCTGACCCACACACTGCTCCTTCAGAGTGAGAGCAGCCGGACTGTTGGGCGGTGCAGCGGGTGGTTTCTGGTACCCGGCGGGACACTCCGCAAAGCAGCTGTGTCCATCTCCGGCTAAGATGTGTCCAGATGTGCAGGAGCACCGGTAGGAACCCGGTGAATTGAGGCACTGCTGCATGCAAGGCCCAAGGCCACCATTAACAGCACACTCATCTACGTCTGGACAGAAAGTTCAAGAGATTAGGACCATCGTGATTAAAACCATCATGTTTAAATGTATATATAATCATTTAGATTTAGCTGAATCTATTCTGAATCTTAAACAAGAGACAACCTGATTTTGACAATGTTCAGAAAAAAAAGAAACAAGAGAAAAAAAGACAATGTTCGAGATGTGGAGTAGATGTTCTGGAACTGAATTTGAACATTCGCACCACTTTTGGTAAATGATAAACAGCAATAAATAAAAAAAATAAATAACTCTGTGCTTATTGGAAAGAGAAACTGTAAGCCCTCTTTCCAAACAGATCTCTTTACTCGTCGCTCTCAGGATTACCCACATGTAAACTTCCAATTTCTATCTCCTCTGAGGATTAAGGTAACACTTTATATAATAGGAGTACAAATCCCATACTTAAATAATCCTTATTGCGTGACGAATGATGATTTAATGCATGCTTGAACTTTAGTTTGCTGATATTTGTCACAATGACATCAATTCAATTTTGGGTTTATGTGATTACTTGACACTCCATTTCATAAGCGATTGCTCACTGTTAATAAATATTTTAACTGCCACCAAACTAGAAGGTTTCCATTAATAGTAATTTCAGACCGTTGCATGTATTTAAAAAAAATCTGTAACTGTTGATAAAACGAAAGGTTTAAGCCAATTTAGAAAATCTAAATAACCATCAGAAGCAAAGCATAATTCAGTTTTTAGACAGGTGATCAGGCACAGGTGAGTCCAAAGTACAATTCATAAAGTTTTACACATTTATTATAAAGCAAAAACACACACACAAACACACACACACACACACACACTCACACACACACATTTGTGCATGGTCCCGGCCAGACAAAGACAGGCTGCACTGAGATGAAAGAGAGAAGCAAAAGATGAAAGGTGGTCATCCGTGCCCATTCATCTGAGTCGAGCTGGAATGTTAAATCTCACATATGTGCCTCCATGTTGTCGTCCTGTTTTGGTCTGTGATAAGAAACCGTTAGGCAGGCATTTTTTGCATCCGGTTGTTCAGATAGGAAACAAGGACGTATAGAGAGACGACTCAAAAACAGCTTTGCTCTGTATTGAACCATCAGTTCATCATCCTGATGTCTCGTTTTGCTTCTGACGCACACCAACTAGGAAAACAACTGACAAAAGGACCCACAAAAAGCCCCCCCCCGTTTCTTTTTTGCCAACAGGAATTTTCCCCTGCATTTTTATCATTGCAGAGGAATTGATCAAACCACAGTGGTTCTCAAAACAATGCAAGAATTGACACTGATAATGATGTTGTTGGAGCATAATATCAACACCATCCAACAAATGACGCACAAATTCCAGGTTGTCAGTGAGATGGACAGTGTAACTTAACATGTGTAAAATAGGCCGGCCATATAAACGGCCCCAAAAAGGAAAGAAATTACACGGCTCACTTAAGCTGGTCTCAGAGCCATGAAACATCAAACGCATCATGTGGAGGCGCTGGGTGTTTTTTCTCAGATGAGAGAGACTCCCTGCTGTGCTGGAACACGCCTCCATGCAGTTTGGAGGAGCTCGGGGGCATCCAAAGTGGAATGTCGTGCAGGAATGACAGGGGAAGCTTTCGGAGGGACAGAAGGAAACAAAAAAAAAAAAAAAAAAAGAAAAAAAGCTACTGGCACGCTCACCTCGGCATGTTTTCCCATCATCCAGCAGAACAAATCCAGGACTGCAGTAGCACCGAGTCCGGCTCTTTGTCTGATTGGAGCTCTGGTCGTAAATCTGGGAGTGAGAGCACAGCTGGGAACAGCCTCCATTACTCACCGAGCATGATGTCGACTCTAAAACCAGCAGAGGTGACAAGGATTAACCTTTAGAGATATAATGGACATCAAACTGCTTTGTTGAAACACGGAAACTATCTGCACTGTTAATAAAAAACAAAACAAAACAAATAAAGTAATTGATAAACCTTGATCTTCAGTATTATAATTATTAGACCCCTAAGCTTAAATAAGAATGAGTGGCCATCTGAGGCTTAACCCTAAAAAAACCTACAAAAATCTTTAAAAAAAATACTTAAAACTGCAACTAAACAGTTTATTTAATCCCATTATTTTATATCTTAATTTAAATGAAAAATATTTCCCTCACAGAAACAAAAAATACACTGATAATCGTGATACCAGAAATTGTTTGTAGTAATTTCTCCTCAAGTCTTTTTATTTTGTAATGTTTTTCATGGTACCTATAAACTTACATTCCAATAGAATTAAGAAGAAGAAAAAAAACCCATAAACATTTGCACATAAAAAAAATTAATTTTAAAAAAATGAAACAAACTACCCAGACAAACAGGTGTGATTCCACTCCAGGTCCCTCCTTGCTGGCAGTAACTGTGTGCGTCTCCATGAGCCAGCGTATAACCGGGGTAGCAGGCGTATTTTACGTACTGCCTGAACTCTCGGAGTCCTGGATTCTCCAAATTATGAAAGGAAAAGGTGCCATGAGCGGGCACAGGTGGGTCAGGGCACGCGGGTCCTATGCTGGGACTCAGAAAAGGCAGAGATGGCTGGGACGTGGCATTAATCCCGAGGTCATAATATTCCTTAGAAATGGTTCTTTCCCCTGCCATGGTAGAGATGTTTGAGGGAGGGGGGATGTTTTCAGTATAAATGATCTCATTACTGAGCATAATGGAGGGCCTCTGAGTCATGGACTCAAATTTGGGAATTGTTTCTTTGGATTCAAATTCAAAGTGGGAATGTTTCTGGCCTCCGAGCAGTGTAGAAATCTGGAGGATCTGCCCTGCATTTGATTTTTCCACACCCATGCTTGAAACTGAGCCCATCACGTCCGACTCTACAAGGAAAATCAGAGGACAAAAAAAAAAAGGTCGGTCCATTTCAAAACACCTCTCAGCTTTTGACACATAAAACAGCACCTATGGTCTACTGACCTTCACATTGAGGCTTTGTGCTGTTCCAGGTGTGGCCCTTACAGAACAACATGGAGGGTCCATGTAAGTGAAAGCCCCGATTGCAGCTGAACGCTACCCAGGAACCATCCTCATTCATCCGGCTCCTCCCGTGGATGAGTGGCCCCGGGCTGGAGCAGCCAGAGCCTGAACAAGCGGAGAAACGGGCTGCAATCTCATGTATGATCCCTCTCTAAACTTCCAGAATAACTAATTATGTATTCAGGTGAAATTATAAATGACAATAATGAAAAAAAAAGGAGAAAGAAACATGTAAAAAGTCCTTAAGACTTGATTGAAATCCTCACCGACACAGACTGGCAGGTCCCGTGACCAGCGCCCAGACATACAGCTGTTGGTTTGGTATCCATGGAGCTTGTAGCCAGGACGACAACGGAAGATCACCAGGAGTCCCCCGTAACGGAAAAACGTCTGGCCGTTTTCCAGGTGCTTAAACCTGCCGCACGCCCTTCCTCCAGACACTACAGAGAAATGCACAATCTGAGCTTGAAACAAAACGTCTCATTAGGCCGAACTCTGATGCGCACTTAAAGAAAATTACCTGGAAAGTAGACGCAAACTAAAGTGACCCATACTGCTAAGAGCCCCTTCTGAGCACCCATCCTAATGTGTGCTGGGGGGACAGTTGTTTCCAGATCTGGAGTTCCTCTTACAAAATTTGAAAGGGGGAGAGACGGAAGGAGGAGAGAAAGGTTTGGAGAACGAAAGTATGAAGATTACAGAAGGCTGAGAAACTGGTGAGGGATTACCACAGGTTACAGAGGGATGGGAGTTAGGGGGAAGTGAAACCATAACCTAATGGCTCTACACAGTGTGTGCACATGTGTTAAGGTGCATGTTCGACGCCTTCTGTTAAATCTCAACCCGTTATTTACTCTGCCTGATTGGAAGCCCGGGCCTGTTTAACAGCTCCCACTGTTTGTAATTAGGAAAGACAGGATGGCAGAGAGAAGGAGCACATAAACGCACCGAAACGCTCCAATGAAGAGTACAAACACAGCTGCTGATATCACAAAGAAAAGAAACTTTATGGAAAAATAATTAACTCAAGAAGTAACTATTTTAGTTGTAAACTGAAGCTTTAATTGATTTTAATACTACATACAAATAGCATTCACATTTTGTCCTTTTTAAATACATTGGAGCAACTATTGTAAAAAAAATGATACATTTGAGCATGACAGATCCAGTACATTTTGTCAGCAAAACTGTAATTTTACCTTTTCATTGACATATTGAAGGGTTGCAGAATATTTTAGGGTATAATGTAGCACACAGGATCATTAATGCTAAAGCATAAATCAATTAACCTTCCAACAATAAAAACAAAACAAAAGAAAATAGGCTGAAAGTCAGAAAAACTTGACAAGGCTTACAAATGAACCAGAGTGAATACTTTTAATCCGAAGCATTTGAACTATTAAGACTTGCTTCAGCTTATCATAACCCTGCTTTTATGGAGATATCAAGTATTCATGCTATTCTTTTCATTTCATACTTTTTGTTGTAGCCATAATTGGTTTTTAAATGAAAATATTTTGTTTTTTTGTTGCTGACAATTTCCATTTACTAGTGAAAACCTTTAATATTTGACTCTTTATTATAAAGAAGTGTGCCCTATTGTGAACTACATCCATCCAGATGTACATTACTGTCTTAAGAAATTCATCTGACAGGTAACACCAACAACTGCCGTTATCCAGCTACATATTATCTTAAATACACAGTTTAAATCAATTTCTCATTTTGTAGTTTCACAGTGGACTTATCCTAGATTTTTTTCCATGTCAGAAACATTGAAGCGTCTCGTCTTATTCCAGCATGGCTGCCATTCTTCATTTAAAAATTCAGGGCTTCTTTTGGGCTCATGAATACTTTTCACTATACGTCTTTTCACCGAGTTGCTGATCCTTGATGTCCAGTTTGTGCACCACTCTAAAAGCCTCCAGGAACTCTGTGAAGTCTATACTGCCGTCCTTGTTGAAGTCAATACTGCGGGCCAGGTCATCGATAGCTCTGTCATCAATGGTGACCCCCAGGTGAGCGCTGAACAGGCGCCAGGTGTGACGGAACTCCTCGATGGAGATCAGGCCTTAACACATCATTCACACGTTAACGCTGGAGGAGAACAACCATTTTAAAATAACCTGAAAAACATATTTAAAACATGTATTCACCTGAATGATCTTTGTCAATAATGTTGAAAATGATCTCTATGTCTGTCCTATATCTGAACAGTGTTTCAGCCAAGTTTGGAGTGACCTAAAAGAAGACAAGAAACAACCCTTCTAAAAAAACTGCACACAGCTATCAGGGAAATGATGATGGGCAAGTTCCTAAAAGTAAAAAATGGCTTTATTAAATCTTAGATTACTTATGCATGTTAAGTACTTAATGAAACACAACAAATATGTATCTTAAACTGTGCGGTCGATTAATTTTACTTTTGACCTGGATCTCAATGCAGACTGCCTGTCTGTTATTACTATGATGTATATAATTTTAAAAATGCATTTTGAACTTGGGTAAATAGCCTATCCACCCTTTTGTTGCTGACCTGAGGCAGAGGAGCTCCTGGTCCCATATCCTGGAAGCAGGACTGATACTCAACACTGCCATCTGGTGAAAGACTGGCTAAGTGTGGTCGGAGAGTCCTCCAGGGCAGGTCCAGTCTGAGCACAGACTCCAAAACCTGAGTCCACTCGCTTACGGACACGTGACCTGTAAAACAGACGAGCGTGTATATGACAATCACACATACAACCGCAATAAATTAAGGTTAATGCATGTTTGGAAGAAAACAAAAATGACTAGGGAAACAGCACCGGTGTGGTTCTGGTCGAACTGCTGGAAGCCCGCCATCAGCTCAGAGCGATGGGCAAAGAGCTTCTCCTTTAGGGCCCTGAGAGCAGAGCCTTCAGCCGCCCGTACCCTGCACACGCAAAGAAAAAACCAGTCTGTCACAAACCTATTCCTCATTCCTTATTCCTCAAACCCAAACAGGTCAGATAATTGACAGTGCTTCTTTCAGCTGTGGTTCGTTTTCGTCTTTCCTAACGCACCGGGCCGCCGTACCTCTGTGTGAGGGTGAGTTTCCGGGTGGTGCGGCTGACTTGATACTGGTAGAAGCGCGGCACCAGCTCTCTGCCGAGTTTGATGTAGGCGCCGCGATTGCTCCCCTCCTCGTAATAGTTCGACGCCGAAAAGATGGTGATCACCTGCGACGTTCACACGGTTTTTACCTCTCCGCGGGCTTTGCCAGCGGGGTCAAAACTTTCCCGCGGGGGGTCCCCCCACCTGTCCGCCGTGACACAGCTCGTAGCCCTCCTGCTTGCACTCGTGGGAGCGGATGAGCAGCTGCAGCCCGTGGCGGAGCAGCAGCCTGCGGGTGACGTCCGGCCCGAAGTAGCAGCCCCCCCCTCTGAAGGTGTTGGGGCTGCAGCCGTCTGGGGTCTTCGGGTCACTCCACAAGATGTCTACGATCTGCCGGGGAGGAAAAAAAGGACATGGATGGAGTCCGTCCCATCGCGTTTAGAGGGGACGCGGATCTGGTCCTCCGACCTGTTTCCACTCCTGCTCGTGCTGCGGGGGGGCAGGCGGGGGGACGGACGACAGAGAGTCCAGGAACGGCACCCGGAGGACATTGTAAGGCGTGCAGGGAGACGACGGGCACGGGCGGGGAGAGAGGCTGGACGGAGTCCGAGGAGAGCAGAGCGAAGAGGAGGATGAGGAGGAAGAGGATGAAGAAGAAACGGAAGCGGCGCTGTCTTGTCGGCTGAGCTTGCATCCTCTTTTTCTACGAAACAAAAAGGCCGTGAGAGAGCGTCCGCCGCGTATCTGAGCTAAACAGAGGAAAGGACGGGACCTTCTGGCAGACCTCTGGTTGGGGGTCAGTTGACTCTTGTGTCTGCGGCAGCTGCCCGGACGAGAGCTGTCCGTGGATCTCATTCTTTTGGCCTGTTTGCCGGAGTGGCCGATGTCCAGCTGGTCCAGACTGCGTCGGGGAAACCTCAGGGCCGATTTCACCTGCAGCACAGAGACAGTCGGATCACAGTGAAATCGGATCTCATGAGTTTAAATGCACATCACCCCTGACCTTGTGCCTCTCTATGGTGCTGAGGAAGTCCAGGTCGGTCTGGTCGGAAATCCCCCCATGCACAATCAGGATTTTTCCATCTATGACCGTCGCAATGGGCAGGAGGCTGAAAACGTCCTGAAACAGCTGGAGGATCTCACGCCCGTGAGTCTGCACGTAATGACAGAGATGTGGCACATCTCAGGCCTAACCCCTGAGCCTATGAGCACAGCAGCGTGAAACCGTGTGTCCAGACCTGACTGTACCTTATACTTCTGCATGACTTCTTTTGTGAAGCCATATCTGGAAGAAAAGAAAACACGGTCGTGTATAGGAAAACGAAAACAAAGAAAAAAAAAGAAAATCCTCTGAACCCCCTGCCTCTGACCTGAGGTTCATGATGTGGTCCTCATGGTTTCCACGGTTCAGGTGCATGTTGTCGGGATAAAGCAGAAGGTACGCGAACAGGAGGATGACCACTTCGACTGACTTTTTACCACGGTCAACAAAGTCTCCATTAAACACGTATGGCGTCTCACCAGAAGGAAGTCCATTCTGAAAAACAGAAATTAATATTTAATCCATAAAATCCAATGCTTTTTAAATAAAATTATTTTAAGAAATCAAATGTAAAATTTGAACATGAAATATATTTGATTCATAATGCCCCAAAGAGTTCAAATCAAGGTAAACATAAGAATGAATGCAATTCTAAAAAATCATTTTCAACTGTCCTTAATTTTCACTGAAAGAAACATTTTGCCACTGAGAGGAAAAAGAAAAAAAAAAAAAAAAATCTTGTTATACCTTGTAAAATATAAGTAGTAAGTCATCAAGTCGGCCGTGCAGATCGCCTGTTCCAAAAGAAAAATCACAGCAGTGAAGAAAATAATCGATCCTAATTGATTCTCAATTTACTGGATTAGGTGTAAAATTCTTTAATTGCATCTTGATGCAATCGGTTCTTTGTTTAAGTCACAAGTAGTCTTGAGTTTAATGAGATGCAGCTCAGCACGAGGGGGCAGCTGTGGAAGAGAAGTCAAGTACCTGATCAGGATGCAAATAAAGCAAGGCCCTCCTTTCTTGGAATGGTGGCATTAACATACAGTCAATTGTAGTTGAACACATTTAAAGACATCAGTCATCGTTTAACCAGCAGCTGAGCTAAGCAGGGAATTAATTTTCGCAACATTCAGTGACACTGAAGTGCTCTTCTCCTTCCCTGAAAACAGAAACGATCCAATCTGAAATCAACAGGTCAAACTGAAGTCAATGTTGCTTCACCACATATAGTGATCTCCTTGGTGTAGGATGTCGAAAAATTGATGATGTTTGGCATCTGTTTGAGGAGCTTTTTGGTCTCATACAGCAGCTGGAGAACATATCTGGCATGTAGAGTCTGTGTGGAAGGAATTTCCCAAGATTAAAGCGGATACCCATTAGTGAAGATTTGAAAACTCAAACCCCCCCTATTCGGTACCTGCTGCTCCTTAAATGCACTGAGGAGAGAGTTGGTGTCGGAGACAGAGAGAGGAAACGATATCCGGGGTCCAGTGTAAGACTCTGGGATGGGGATCAGGTTGTAGCAGGTGTCCTTGTCTAACCAGGGGTCCACCACTGGGTCCAGAAGCTGGGAGATCAGGTCTGAAAGACAGTGTGTGGAGCTGGTAACCTGCTGTGCTATAAACTCATTTCGAACGCTGGTTTAGGATTAGTTTAGATACATTTTAAGATACTTTAAGTATGCATTGCATCCTCTGTGATCTAACTTAAAATTGTTGTACTGAGAATCTATAGCTCATAAAACAAATACCTTGTAAACAATGATGGACTGAAAAGCTGGTTTAGACTATTAAAATGTGTTAGACAAAGCAAAACAACAACACTTTGAATGTACAAAAATGGAAATTAAATCAGAATATTCAAGGAAATGTGAACATTTGCTAAACATTTTGAGCCATCCTCATGTTCATGGCATCAGATCCAGTTCTCTGTGGCATAAGAGCCCTCCAGTATGGTAATATAAACGGATGGCCTCTAATTTATGCAAGTGAGGAACAGACATGAACCTACAGGCCCATTTCTCCTTTGTTCAGTTTCAGCTCATCTCTGTGTGATTGCCATTGTTTTGCAAAACACAGACACACTCGCACAGCTGCCAAAATATGAACGGTGCAGACGGACGCTCAGCAAACGATAAGCAATACGACTGGTCTACGGATTAGGAGGGAATAGAGGAACTGTGCATTTTTTTTGGGTGCTGGATGAGTGGGTCAATATGCAATTATGCCACAGCTGTTTCAGTGCCACACACCAACACACATCTCCACATTCCTGGTTGTTGCCAGGCAACGGGGTACACGCAAGGGGTTTTTCTGATCTCGATGAAAAAAACAAATAAAACAAACAAAAGAAAAACAGTTTTTTTACACGTGGTTTTAATTAATTCCAAATTAAGAAACATTTTGTTTTGTATTCTACATTCATCTAAACGACAACTAACCGCAAAGTGATGACTACTAAATGCTAATTTTGTCTCCGGAATCAAATAAAGGTTAATAAACACTGTGATAGACAAACAGAAAATTAAGCTCTCACACATAGTGAATTTACAGTTCCCAAAACCAAACATCCAAATGCCAGCCTCAGAAGAAAAAGTTACTCTACCTCTACCTAAGAAGGGATTATATCAGTTTTTCACCAACAGTTGATTGTCTTAACATTTCAGAAGGGGGATGCTTTGCTCCTTACCTGGCCCGTTTCCACTGAGCTGAGTCAGGTTGTCCAGCATGAAGCTGAAGAAACTGGAGAGCTAAAGAAAGCCAGACAAGAGAACATCTGTGAGTATCTGAAATATTCCTCCTTCTAAGCCGAGGGGAAAATGCTCGGAGACGCACCTGTAGCTGGTCCTGTTCGCCGGCGTATTCGATGGACTGGAAAATGTTCCAGGTGTACCTGCGTCTCATCTCAAGGCGGGCCATGTAGCGCCGGAACCAGCGCTGGATCAAAACGGCCGCCTTCATGGCTGAGGAAAAAACACAAGCTGTTCCTGTTAATTCACTTAGGAGACCCGTCACTGTATTTACAGTCACATATACGTTCACAAAAACGGATGCACACTTAAAGCTGCAGTTCTATAGAACTTTATGTTTAGTAAATCACACAAGTGAAGCTTTCAACTCCAACATTCCTTCATATGAGTGCATATTACCTGATGAAGTTTTTAGATATGAATAAAAAAATAAAGGAAACTGATACCTGCACATTCAAAACAATATATTTAACAAATAGAGCAACAAACTGGGTCTTACTCAGAGCCGGGCTCGGCGCCTTAACTGCTTCATCTGCAAGAAGAAACATTACAAGTCAGCATATGACACTGACAATTAAACAGGATTACATGCAAGAGTACACACGTCCACGCACACACACAGACAGAAAGAAAGATAACAAGACACAAGGGAGGTCATGTGCAACAGCGGGACAGGAAAAACTAAGCAAATTAAAGCAGCTTTTGGGAGTAACGACTCATTAAAAGAGGACAGAAGACAAGCTGTGGAGAACGAGGAGTACCATCTGTCAAACATCTGTGTGCGTGCGAGTGTCTGAGGAGGAAAAACCCTGACGGAAATGAGTAAAACAAACCATACCAGCAGAAAAGTCACAAGAATGATCAAGTGACCTTCACAGGAGATAAACAAGCAGAGGAAATCCAAGTTCTGCTTCAAAATAGGCGCAAAAACATAACATGAGCCAGTGACTTTACCTGTTTGGAGGCTTTTAACATGCGTTTCCGTGGCAACAGATGTACCACATCCCATGGTGGTCAACGGGAATATCCAGGAGTCACATTGATCTCTTCTCTGCAATCAGGATCTGACCGGTGGCACGTGACTGGTTCACATGGACCTGAGAGTTCTCCATTAGGAGAACTTCAGAAAGCAGATTCGACAATAAAAACTTACGAGGCAACGCCGTCTTACGCCTGAAAAAATTGTCCAAACCAGACGGGTTACAGGTAGCGAAAAGAAAAACAAGAAACAAAACCCAAATCAAACCTAACAAATATTTTGTTTTTCCACAACATTTAAAGCGAACGTGCGCGTTACGCATTTGGCGCAAGTCATCAGGTTGAAATGGTTCCTACCTGAAGCTCGAATCCACAGATCCAACAGGAAATGCACACTTTATTGGCGAAAAAAGGCAGAATGTTTGTCCAATCCTTTTAATTACAGCTATAAGGGGGAAAAAAGGGTTTGTGGATGCTGCTGCTTCAGTGGAGGAGCGCAGCGCTCAAAGACGAGGCGGAGGCATCATGGGGATGGATGCAGGCATCGACTAAAGGGGTGTCGCTGTTCCACCTCCAGCCCTCAGCGGTTAATTTAACCAGGAAACTCAACCAAACGACAAACTGGCTCAATTTAGAGACAAAACTACACCAATCCTCCGGTTGTTCTCCAAATATTCTTCGTCATATGAATACGGTCAGTTCACACTGTGGATCAATAAGCTGTGAAAATGATTTTACCATAATTAATTGTACAAAAATTTTCTTATAAAGAAAGCTTTGTACGAGTTGGACGACTTATAAATTGATTTCGATTGCAATGTCCTCGAATTGGACTGAATCTTTAAAATACAAAGACATTCGTGACTTGGCATTGAATTAATAAAATATAATTAAATCCCCTTTGAGTTGCAATTGCTCTTTTCTTTCTCCTGTTTTTTCCTTTTAAGTATTTGTGCTTGCAGCTAAAATTAATCCTTAAACCAGAAAAATCTGAAGAACTAAATCCACCTGTGCACCAAAGTTTGATTTCCTGCAAGAAAAATCAAATAAACTCACCAGTTCCCTTTTTGCATGGCAATTTTAAAAGAGACAATAAATAAAGACTTAAAAAATATATTTATTTAACATTAAAATTGTCTAGTTTATGTACATCTCTTCATGCTGCAGCTCTGGAACCAATCCTTTTCTGTACAAGTGTGACGGCAGCGCTGATCTCTTGTAGAGTGATCTCTTTTAATCTGTTGGTCTTCGACAGCCGAGATGCCTCCAGGCTCACCAGTTTGAGGAGAATCGGCTGGGGAAAACGGAGCTGCCGACAGGCCAGGAACTCTGAACTCCTCACCGCATTTGGGCCGGCCTACAGGTGAGAAACACCAGTCATCCTAAGATAAGAAAAACACAATCTACAAGCTAGTATTAAAAACCATATAGTACTGGTCCTGACCTCTTTATGACTTCTGTAAATGAAAGAGGCGTAATCTCGAACCCTTCTCTTTGGTTTTAGAGGAATTCCACGCGCTTTTCCAACAGGTGCCTTCATATTCTTCCCTTAGGTTTGCTGAAAGTAAACACAAGTGTGCACAGAAACCTGTTTTTATGACACGCACGAGTAAGAGGGACAGGACAAAAAAAAGTGTTGGTAGAAAAGAGCGAGCTTTAATTAACGCAAATTAAAACCAGCTTTGCTTAATCAGGCTTAATTATCTTCACCCAACTCACTCTGAAGCCCTCAGTGGGTCATAGGCAACACGAGCATGAGGAAAAGTCCTACTCAACTTTGGTTTTAAATGTGACAGGCGATGACATTCAGCTTCTCCAGTCCCACTTTGTGATATAAAATATGTCCTTACGTTGTTGCTTTACTTAAAAGTAAATAGTCATTTTCTCAGGAAATTGAAAACATCCCATTAAAAAGACAACTTGAAGGCTTAATTTGCTTATTGCAACTTTGAGTTAATTGCATTTTACTAGAGCTTTTCAATACCGTGCAAACTTACGCTTCCACTCCATCTCACTTCTTTGAAAGCTTCATTTGCTTTGAAGGAAAAGCTAAAAACTGAGGAACACATGTGACCACAGGGAACATTCCCAGGGCCAGTTGTATGAATATGATACCATAAAACTGTAATTTTGGTTCATATGTAAGTAGTTGGTTTTGTTGTATCTTTAAAATCCTTTTCTTTTTAATTATTGTTGCTTATTTCTTTGTTGGTACAAATGAGACAATTATCTAAGAGTGATTGCATTTTGTCTGTAATCTGACATGGAAATTAAAGTGATGGTGTTATTGCAGCCTTTAAGAACCCTTCATTCACCCAAATGGGGGACCTTCTGCCTCGTCATATGGATCACCAGGCCCAGCATGAGCATCACCACTCTCACCCTTTAAGCCTATTCCTATTGAACACTCTTTAGTTTCACTTGGATTCACGGGTTTTTATTTTCTTGAAGGATTTCCTGACGTGACCCCCGTGACTGCCCCTTGATTTCCAGTGACTTAGATGCCGTCGATGGTGTTGATGGTGGTGGGGGAACAGCTGTAGGAGGGGCTTTGCCAGATAAGGGTGGCATTAGGTAAATCCATTAGTGTCCTGTGGATTACTGTAATCCAGCCTCTCTATCACTGCTGGCTCGGGTTGCTCACCCTTCAGTCGGACCCGTCTGGTTTGGAGCAAGTTGGAAGATGGCTCTCAACGTGCGGCATTTCCTGCTGGCGCTGCTTCTCCTGGGAGCTGACGGTATGATTTCAGGTCTTTACTCATCTGTTGAGTAGTGAATCCAAACACATATTTAGGACAGGTGAAGTCAGAAATCCTTATTGTCTACTGCCGCAGGTACCCTTTCGTGTTTTCCCATCCTTGGTGGGGTTAAAATGACAGATTGGTGTTGTGATTTAACAACCAGAGTGGACTTTGGTGTCCTAACAGCCTCTTTTCTATCCTTGTTTCCTATGTGGCTCGACGGGTGGCTGTTTTCTCTTCACGTCCATCTGGCCTGACAGTGTTCACCGGTATTTACGCTCAAGAGGTATGAAGAAACCCCGGGAACACACGAAGGAGAGATTGTCGTTTCTAAACTGCAGATATTCAAAATTTTGCTTCATTTTCACCAACACCCACACCAAAGAAATCTCAATCTGTGGTGGGAAAGCAGTGTTATTCCAACCACCATGTGTCAGATTTTCTCTGGGAAAACACTGTAAAATGGAACAGATATGAAAATAGAAACAGAACTCTAGCATCTCTCCCTATGTTTTTCCAAACAAGCTGTGTCTATAAAATCACTGTATGCACATATACATAATTTATGCATCTAATCATGTTACTGTAGTGAGAATCTAATATTTTATTTGTTCATATGAGAATGCTGTGACTGAAGCATGGACCAGCACGTCTTGCAAGTGTGACTGTGATAAAGGAGAGTTTCCAGAAGGTCCTATGGTGAGAGGAGTCGATTGCATGCCAGGTAAGACTCTCATACGATCTTATCTACTTATCTTTTTTTAAGGTATTTGTGGGGATGAAATCTGTAATTGATCTTTAGATTTTCATAATCAAATCTAACTACTCTCATGATATGAGATTGACAAACAAACCCGTAGGAACATGTCTTAAAAAGTCCAGTAAGGGCAAAGTGGCCAACTCTTTATTTGTTTACTGATGAAAAATACATTGAGAATGGGATTCCATATTTATATATGTGAGCTTAGACTATAAGTCATCATAAACAATAATGAAATGATAATGAATGAGTCCAACAGCTCTGTACATAAAACTACAACAACAAACAAACAAAATCCATATTTGAGAGGCTACAACCTCCGACAGTGAAGGCATTTTGGTTGAAAACCTTAACTTGAAAATATCGCCCAATGTATTTGTACAACTATAAACTCCACTGTGTAGATGAGCAGGAGGTTTTAATGCTCGTACTTGACAAGAATCCATCTGTGATCTTGCGCCTGCATGATTTTATTAGACTCCAGATTTGACACCACAGGGAAGACATGCTCCACTGGAGCCACAGATAGAGCCATGAAATACAAAACTGCTTCAGTGTGAGCTGCTATATCCTCTTGCTTCATTGTTCCATTATCCAAAATTGGGGTATGCATTTGAACCTGAACAAATCTCAAATATGGCATCTATGAGAAGTGGTAGGGTTTTCTATCTATGAACACAAATGAATAAAACATAAGAGATGTTATACATCATTTTGATGATGGACACTTTGGAGACTAGGACAGAAACTGATCAAAATGTTATCTTGTAACAAATTCTTTGGTCCTGTCATATGTCATTAATCGGCAAAACTATTTCGCATACACACAAATATCAGATTTGAATCATGTCAGATTAACAGAGACTTGATGCAGGGTAAAAGAGAGTGTTTCATGCGAGCTACAAATAGCACAGCGACAAGTAATGGAGAACTTGATGTAGAGATTATGGGGCATCTAATGGGCTGTCACATAATAACAGAAACCAGTGATTACCACTATGTGGACCAGCTGATGAGAAACCATGAGAGACAGGATCTCCCCGGTGTTATGTAAGACAGGTTCATCAGCACTCTGGATCTCACTTGTTGTTTTTTTCTTTTAAATTTGCAAATGTTGGTGAGGCCATACAGAAGGGAGGGCCACAGAGGCATTCACATAGCTGTTATGGGAACACTCATCCCACAGACAGACACTTCAGTTGTAGTCATCATAATACCAGGATTAGACCTGGTGCGACCCCTACTTAGATACGTTTAAGACAGTAGTAAACAAAAGAGCCGCTGGCTGTTTCCACTTCAGTCCTGGTTCTGTGAATCCACAATTGCTGATTTTTTTTTCTCATGTCTAACACCACCCCTCCCCACGCCATTCATATACTGTATTTTAGTAAGCCACAAAAAGAAAAGGCAGCTTGAAAGCCACATGGAGCTAAAGCCATGGTGAGTGGAGAAAGGCCATCTGTCCGCCTGCCGCCCTAATGGAAAATACTGATCTCTCACTATGGAGAATTAAACTACCGAGTTTTAGGGTAGGATATGGGTCACACTTGGAATGCTAACAGCAGGAGACCGGGGAGCCGGGGGGTCTGAGGATGGGAGACAGCAGGAGAGAGGACAGAGTAGAAAGGATAAAGAGAGTTAAGAATCCAGGGGGGCTTAAAGTCGATCATTTCCTGGTTATGTTTCAGTCCCTTACTGGTAAGCTGTAGCAGACTTTAACTGTAACCCCATCCATTCATCCAGTCCAGGAGGGATTAGATGGGGAAAGATAAGTGGGGAAATTTTAAACTGAGGGATTCAATTTCCTTTCAGAGTGTCCATACCACAAACCTTTTGGCTTTGAGGCTGGATCTGTGAACCCGGACCAGATCACCTGCTCCAATCAGGACCAGTACACCGGCTGGTTCGGCTCATGGGTTCCTAGCAAAGCCAGGCTCAATACTCAAGGATTTGGGTAGGTGCAAGCAAATATCTTGACAGTGATAAAAAAAAAAGTAAATCAATTTATTTTATTACTTTGATTTCAATAGTTTTTTTATTCACCCACTGAATCTTTTTCCGCCTCTATTTAATCCATTGGTTAAGTGGTCTGAGTTAAAAAATGATTTACGCTTTCTTTCTACACCATCTTTGAGGAAAGAAAGCATTTAGCATGGTAGTGTAGGATAGTTTTGTTAGAGCTTAAGACATGTTTAGAAAACACTTGTCGTCTCAGGCAATTACATAATGATATAGGATAATGTATAGGACTCTTTTTTGAAAAGTACTGTTTAGTGTGTTGGTTTGAAAGTGCTACATCATGCTTGACTACGTGTCTCACAATGATTCTCCTCCAGGTGTGCCTGGCTGTCCAAGTTCCAGGATAGCAGTCAATGGCTGCAGGTCGACCTCAGAAATTCCATGGTGGTGTCCGGGATCCTCACACAGGGTCGCTGTGACGCGGAGGAGTGGGTCACAAAGTACAGCGTTCAGTACCGCTCAGACGAAAAACTCAACTGGATCTATTACAAAGACCAAACTGGCAACAACAGGGTTAGTGTCTCACACAAAACACAACCGATCATATGCCAAAGGTTTTTGGTGGAAAAAAGATTGAGATGTAAGTGAATGACAAAAAAAAAAAAACGTTTAAGCACAGAAACTCCCCCAAAAAAGGTCAAAATGTTTTCATTGGCAGATGTTTCACAGAATTATCTGTTTTATTTCTTTATACGAAACAAAAATCATAGGCTATAGCATCACAGCAATATGCAGCCAGCGTTCCACTGTAACCCAGACCTCCCCTTTTTGTTCATCCTCAGGTGTTTTACGGAAACTCTGACCGCTCCTCGTCCGTCCAGAACCTCCTGCGTCCGCCGATCGTGGCTCGCTATATCCGCATCCTCCCTCTGGGGTGGCACACACGCATTGCTCTGCGCATGGAGCTGCTGATTTGCATGAACAAATGCATGTGAACCTCTCATCCCGCCGACCCCAAGGCCTCGTCCCAAAAGTGTGTGGTGTGTGATTATGTGTTCGCAGATAAGGCAGCCTAATAGCAAGTGAACCCCTAAAATATTCAGTATGAGACCTGTTATCGACTCACATGATTCCATTAAAACAGACTTGTTTGATATGTACAGCATGCTTTTATTCACTCCACTCGGCAGTGTCCGCAGCTTTAATTTGAAGAGTTCTCAATAGGATGCTACACTTGCAGTGAAATGGAATAAATTCAAAGCCATAATTAGCAGTTGAGAAGCAGACCTAGCGTTGCTATGGAGGATGCAGACGCAGGTCTGAAACAAGGAGAAAGTAACAAGTCTGAAACAACACTTGTTGTTCAGCAACACAAAATTGACCTAAAATGATTTTTTCTGCTGAAGTATGCCTGGAAAGATCTGCATCCCAGCAATTCTTCCCATGTTTATTTTACCCTCATTAGTTTCAGTGTTACTCAGTACGTGAGTATTGTGAACAAATCCCATAAAAAGTCCAAATGTAGCAGTTAATTGAACTTCACTGGCTCTGTTTTTGTGTCCGAAGCCTCAGATCGATTAATAGTTATCTCTGATTTTAATCAGTTTCAGTTCAGTTTACTGATTCATAACAAACTTTGTCATCTTGGCACTTCTAAAATACAATTCGGTTATAATTAATTCAAAATTATTTCAATTTGGCAATTGTTCAGTTGACTAAAATAGATAATTGAATAGTCTGTGTTCTCTCATTCCATGAAACTATATAACACATTCTTAAAAATGTAAATTACAATGCGGATTATGTCTTTGGTAAGGACTCGTAGCAAAAAGCATTTGCTGGTATTAACATGCTTGATTTTGGTTTTGTTTTTGTTTGCTTGTTCTAACCTGAGGCCATTTTTGAAAAAGCTTCAGGCGTATCCACTGTTGTGTTTTGGTATTGTGGTAACCCTCGGATTGTTTCTCATCTCTGTTTTGGTTGACCTTCCTATGGTGCTTTGAGAATTCTTTGCAGAGTTTGACATACTCTGAAAATCTTTAAGCCATTTTCATGAATAAATGAATACATTCTGAATGTGCCCGTCCTCAGGTGATGTTTTTCTTCCCGCCCCAAAAAAATCACATCAGCCGATCAAAAATGTACAGTTGGCATTTATTATGAGACCCTATCATATTTAAATTAGAATGGTCAGTATAGATACACTCTGTTATTTCTATGTACACCCTGTCAGAAGTGAGAAACAGCTTAATGAAACAACTGATGCTTTAGGAAACACATTCATATTTGTGAGGAAAAAGTCATCTTCCCGTCTCTCAGTGTGTGACTTGCTGGGAGCTGAAGCCTTCGTTTCCATCCACGTGTTAAGAAGTCATGAGCTGATGTAAGGCCTCGGGTCACTGGCAAGGCAACCTTTGTCATCACTCTGTCCAATAGTTGGCTAAAGGAACCCCACATCAGCATCTACAATCAGAGTTCTCTGTAATGCACAGCATGGGAGCGTTTTCATCTGATCAGGGATTAACTGAAGATAAGAAATATATTGCATATCGATGCCCTAGAATTTAGTTGAATCACAATATAGGATACGAAATCCCTCTAAAATTTGCTATCGTGTTTGATTTTGGCTGCATCAGTGTCTTTCTCACTGTTATTGCTTTCGGTCAGCCTTGTAGTAAATTTGTTTTGCTGCATAAATCTGCCAAATTGTACTTCTGGACCAAAAATGCATCAGAATTTCCCTTTACCTCACCCTTTTGTTTCACTTGGTGATGCACAAAAAACACAGCCCGACGGAAGAAATAAAATACCTTGCTCAGGCCACAAACAGCATTTTTTTTTTTTTTACCCGAGCCAGTTTTCCCATTAATCCACATGTGAGGGAACAAGCAGCAAATGCCTCTGTAATAGCTGAGGTTGAGTGATTTTATCCCTGACCATGGCGGCAGATGTTGAACATAATGCAAACAGGAACACCAAAATAAAGACTTACAAAAAGGCGTTTCTTCTTAAGAAATACGTTTTAGAAATGCACACTGATGTAAACAAGTATGAAAAGATAAGGCCGGTCAGTTTCAAAATGTCATATGATTTGTTGTATTATTGAAAGTTGAGTGAACAGAATCAAACTGAGCAGGGTACACCTACATTTAGACTAATTTTGATCACTTTATGGTTTATTCTACTCATTATTTCAGGGGGGGATGTTGATTTTTTAAACTACTGGTTTCATAGTAAAGCCACATTTACTAATCTAAATTTGAAACAATTATAAAAAAAACGTTTAAAACCGTGCTTTTTTACAAAAAGACAGCGAGTCACTTGGGACAGTGTTTTTATTTTAACCCTGGTCCTCAGGGCCCACCGGCCAGCATATTTTCCATGATTACCAGCTTCAGCACACCCGATAAGAACTAATTCATTTTCACACGAATAAGGTGTTCAGGAGCTGGGACTCTTGGAAAACATGCAGGACTATGGACCCCGAGTACCATGATTAAGAATTGATTGATGCCCCGAATGATTCAGATGTCCACCGTAATACCTAACACCTAACACCTGGCTCAGATACTGAAAACAGTGACCTATGTGTTTCCCAAACTTATGACAACACAGCTAGAAATATCATTATGTGGCATTTCTGCCAGAGTTTCTGACTACGTTAGAAGATCACCAGAATTCTTCTTTAAACTCTTAAAGGTTGCAGGTGAGGTATGGCCCTTTTTAAAAATCTTAAACTCTGTAAAAGATCTGTCTCATACATGTAATTTTAAGAGCTTACATATGGAAAAATATGCCTGTTACTTGCTGTTAAGGCTGTAGACGAACCCAACGTGGCAGCATGGAGCTGGAAAGCAGCTGACATTGATAAAAAAAACCTGGGGACGTATGGCCGGGGGTCATTTTTGAATGGTGATATCAGACGTGGGACATGAAGCGGTTACAGTATATAAAGACGCCTAACAGTCTCACTCTGGCTGATCTGCTGACCACTACAGCCCGACTGGTCACAAAACTTCCAACTGATGTCATGAGGATGACAGGCTTATCTGAACTACAAATATCAGAGATTTGTGTGTACTCACCAGTGTTTCTTTTTACATTTCGATGAAACGAACAGAAGAAGGGGGGGGGGAGGTAAATAACACAACATAAGAATCTGTTAATAACATCATTTGAACGAAAAGTAAGAAGACATTCACCATTATTAGATATTCCTTGTGACATATTGTATTATCAACACATAAATATCTATGCATTTCTTTGTGTCGAAACTAAAGCTCTTGCAAATACACATTTAATCCTAAATTACCGTATAATATTCCCATAAAGCCTACATACTGTGTCATTTATAGCTTATATCCTTGAAATTTAAAACAAATAAATATATCTAATAAATAATATCGATATAAATCTTTCTTTTTTCTGTTATCGTTATTTTTCCCTTTTTTTTTCTCTCGAGGTTATCAAATATCAGAACTTGAAAAACGTTTGAGTTTATTTTGCCACCGGCGTGCCAGCGGCGTGTGACGCGTTGCAGCGGCGTCCTGCGAGCAGAAGATGGCAGCAGACGGGTCACACAGGCAGTGTGTCTCCTTGACGGGAGAAAATCGGCTTATTCTGATGTAAGTAGTAGAGATAACAACGGCTGATGCAGTCCTGGCATCCCGGTAAGGTGCTGGCCCCTCCCCCCTGTCCTTTATCCTCCGGCGGGACGCTGTAACCGTGTGGAGCGTTTAGATTTTTAGACTTATGAGAATCAACGTTTGAGGACGTTTTTTTTGGGATGAGCAGTTGATTGGGCGATGAGGGGGGGCCTTCTCAGTGGATTTTTTCAACTCCGGTTCCAAGACCTCCACCGGGACGGAGCAGGAGGGGGGGGTTGGTTTACAGGGCCGTCTCCTTCAGGTCGTTCAGGTTTGGCATCCTGGTGCGGGACGCCCGGGTGAAGGTGGGTCCGTTCTGGCCCGGTTTGATGCCCAGCTGCTCGGCGGTGAACTGGGCCCCCTCGGCCCGCTGCAGAGCGGACACGTGCCAGCTGGACTCGATCTGCCCCGGGAGGGGGTAGCTGGGCTTGCGGTTCTTGGCCTGGCCGGAGCTGCTCACTCCCGAGTGGGCCCTGCTCTCCGGGTGGCCCCGGCCCTCCGGGTAGCCGGGTTTGGAGGAGGGCTGGGGAGGGTTGGGGAGGGCGCCTTGGAAGCGCATGTCCGGAGGAGGGGGGGGAGGAGGCTGTCCCTGGTTTGAGGAGGAAGGGGAGAGATGGAGGAGTCGACGGAGTGACTTGAGTGGCTGGCTCTGGCGATAGACAGAAAAGAGACGATCAAGATATTTTGAGTGTTTTTTTGTTGTTTAGAAATAAATGAAGCAGACACAGTAATTAGTCATTCAGATACTAAAGATATGCTTCGACGAGAGAGTTTGAATAGCTGTTGTTGTTGTGAGAGGAGCATGAGAAGGCTGTAGAATGTGTTTCTATAAGACCGACGAACCCCTGCTGAGACTAAGATTAGCTGTAATGGTCATGAAGGAGCATTAAACACGCCGTACCCCGTATTTATCTACCCACTTTGTGTGGCTTTGCCTACAAATAGCTCTTATGTGAGTCACACAACTCACGAGTACATGACAAGACAAGGCTAAACATTTGACGAGGTTTCCAAAGTACATGATGAGCTGTTGAATTAAATCATTTAATTTCAACCCCATATTTAAAGATGGTTAGACGAAAGACAACATACAAATGTAGAAAATCTTTTTAAATAAATAGATAATAATTTCCACTTTGTTGCCTTCAAAAGGTTTAAAAAGTTTGTGTCGGGGAATTCTTTGTGAACTTTGAACACTGCATGCTTGTAGAAAATAAACAGAACAAGTGCAGGATATTTGAAAGAGAAATGTTTTCAATTCTTGCCACATTTAGCATCAGCAGGCTTAGTTTCCTGTTTCTTTTTCATGGATAAATATTTTTCAGTGCGTGACAGGCTGTTCATACTAATTTGCAATCATGATGCATGAGGATTCTGAACAAATGAAAAATTCTTTGCACAAAATTGTAGTGATTTGGAGCCTGAATGGAGCCCTCATCGGGGCAAAATGTGTCATTGTGTGTGTCAACAGTTTTCATAATCAAAGATATATATTTCTCTAGCCTGAATTTGGAAAAAAGGAATTACTTGTTATTTAACATGACATAAAGCCTGTATTTGCAGATTCAGGATGTTTTTCAGAATCATTCTTATTAAATAACTCCAGGAAGAGACTATCGACTCATTATATTCTTTGTTAGATGTTATTCCTGCAAATATGAGTGACTTAATGCTTCAATATTTTTTACATGATAGCACCGCAAACATGTACTCTACATTTAATTGATAAGAAGTATTGTTGCCAGTTAAACAGATTAATTCTCAGTGTAACAATTAGTGTCAGACATAGTTTAATAATTTGCTACATTTGTATTGGTTTGAATAAATTTGATCTTATTCAGTAGATCTTATTCTGCCAGGAATTATAATAAACCAGAAATTACAAATATGATGTAGTTTAGTGTGGACAAATGGTTTTTACATGATGTTTAAATGTCTGATGCAGACGTTTTTACATCCAAATTGCAAAAGAGGTTTATTATTTAATCAGGAAAGTGGTTATTAATATATATGTATATATATATTTTGAAAGTAAGCATATACCTGAGAGTGAGAGTCCACCTGCTTGTCCGTTGGCCATTCACTGACTCTCTCCCTCTCCCGTTCCCTTCCTCTCTCTCTCTCCCTCTCCCGTTCCCTCTCTCTTTCCCGCTCTCTCTCCCTCTCCCTGTCTCGGTCTCGGTCCCGGCTCTGCTCCCTCTCTCGATCCCGGGATCGCTCGCGGTTTTTTCTGCGGCTGCTGTGGTGAGAGGAGGACTTGGAACTCCTCTGAAGGGACAGATGCTCCTGTCCGTTTCCAGTTACCTGTTCAGAAGAAACAAAAAACAAAACAGGGCTATAAACGAATGCCTAAAATATTCATTCACTGCCAATTTTGTGAAAATATCTAAAGTCACTTTCATAAGATGTCTCAGTCAAATCACATCTCACATCCTGGAGATGTTCTACATGCACCCCCGAGGAAGCAACACAAAACAGGTAGGTGATGATGGTGATTAGTAATGACCTTGTTCACGAAGAAATGCCATTTCAAAGCTTTTATGACTCACAAACCACCATATTCAATCAGGAAAGATGAATAGTTCGGCTCTACATTAAATCAATTTTCATTCATATAAATCATTCAGTGGAGATGATGTCTGTCTGGTAAAAATGCACAAGCATTCTTCCCCAGAAAAAGTTCAAACCAAAAGTGTTTACAATGATTGTATGCAAACTTTTGTCTTGGACTGCATGTCAAAACAACATAATATCTTAATAACAAACCAATGATGAGTTAGTTATATGAAAAGTGTTTCAGTGATGTTTATGGGCAGTTTTTGTTCTTCTTATTTCAAATATGATGCAATAATACATGTTCTCATTCAACTGTCAATAAGAAAAGATCATTTTTATATTTTCTAAAATGGTAAATGTTTCCTGCTTCCTGTTCCGTATTTTTTAGAGTCGGAGCTTGTTTGTCTCTATACTCAAAATCTTCATGAAACTGACAGGATACAGTATGAAATCGTAGGCCTCACAAACAGGACAAACTTCAGCATGAAAGAAGTGTCTCAAACGTTGCGAGTGCATCTGACATACATTACAGCAAGACAAAGAGATGCACAAAAAAGCGTGCAAGTTTTAGACTGAACACTTTTGAAATCCTTTCACTTTGAAAAATGCCTCAATCAGCCAGGGAAACTTTTTGAGAGGATTTCAAAGCAGGTTCGGTGCGTGCGGCGTGGGTCAGCATGCAGCCGAAGTGTTGAGGTTAGATTACTGGTGAGGCAGGGTAGGGCGCGGTAGGCTGGTGTTGTACCATGGGCGAGGCCACTACAGGTAGGACTTTGACAGCTGAGTTGTGCTTTAAGCTATTCTTAGAGCTAAAAAGGGGGAAAAGACTTTTCTTGATGGTGGGGTTCCTCCCGTCCTCCAAGTCTGTCTGTGGAGCAGAAGAAGAATAGCCACACCCTTCAAACAAATGTCTGGTCCTATGAACAGAGAAACAGCTGGAGGAATCGATCACAACCTTCTTTGGAAACATAAATTAAGACGAAACACGGGGGGTGAAGTATGCACACTTATCCAAACAATACAGAGCAAAGTAAAATAAAAACTTCTGTAGCAAACTAAATATAACAATCCTGTTACACAAACTGGAGAGAATAAAAAGAAAAAGAAAACAGAACAAAAAACTCAACACCATGTTTTTAATTTCAAGCTTTAAAAGCTTAATTTAACACGGTCCGCTTCTGTCACAACTTTATTTTAGAGGTGGATAAAAATCAAATGTGCTAAACCTTTTTCAGGTGAACACAGACATTTGGAATTGTGATCTCACTGGTTACAAATTAGAAGAGATTTTAATGCTCATCTGTTTGTTTACATCGACTGTGTTTTCATTGTGTTCCCAGATTTCAGTCAATAACCTATCCACTTTAACACGATTATTGCCAAGGAATGATGGCAAGCATAATGAAAATAAGACCCATGTTGTAATAATTCCAAATTACCCTTTAGCAGATCTGGTGGTTAACATCAGTCTTCACTTGCACAGTAATTGCCCAATTACACATTAATGATGGCAGAAAGTCAACAAATGATCACGTTAAACTCTGCTGCTCTGAAAACTCGTGGGGATTGGTGTTAACACTCAGATATACTTAAACACAATGGACGCAGAACATAGAATTAGCAACAGTGTGTCAGCATTTTCTTCACGTGTGGAAGTAAAAACAAGATCTTACTATTTGTGCCTTTTTCTTCTTCTTTTTAATGGCTCTGAAGAAGCCTTGTTTTTCCTTCTCTTTGGTGGGCTCTGGAGTTTTCATGACCATGGCCTCTGCTGCACTCCTGCAGGGGACACAAGGAGATGCTTCTTGTCTTAACAAGCTCAGGATTAAACTTTAACTAAAATGTGTCTCATGCTCGGGAACAATCCAGCTACTGTAGACAAACTGACAAAGAGCTGTATAGTACCCCCCCCCCCCCAAAAAAAAGGAAAAGGAAAACACACAGTAATAGAGTCCGCTTTAAAAATGATTAAATTCTAAGAGTATTTTGACAGCTCAAAGAAGAAATGCTTATTTTTATGATAAAACATCAAATATATCAATATCTTTCTGTTCAATATCTTTCCAACATTAAAGAATTTTCACCTTATTAGCATCAGAACTGAGTGATGTAGAAAGATCTAACAGATTTAAAATTGGTTTTCATGCGAGACCTTCAGGTTACAATGAAGAAAACATGCCAAAATGTTGGATGTGGAACTTAAATAAAGGTATAGAGCAACCCCGTTTTTCTTGTTCCTGCTCTGATTGCGCGTACGTTGCACATGGTGGGCTCAGCAAATGAATCCTTACCAGTCAAAAGCTGTCTGGCGTTTGGAGTGGTTCGCCATGCCAACTGGGTCACCGGCTACAACGGGGACGACTGGCCCTCGACCCTGACCGACACCTTCATGGAAAGAAGAGGAGTTATCCGGTCTGGGAGAGGGGACTGAGGAGACACACGGAAGAGAGAAAAGGACAGAAAATACATATTTCTTCTTCTCTCGGTGAGTGTCTGTATTTATAGGGTAAAGACTTTGCTTCTAATTAATCTGGAGGTATCCAAATATACATATTTTTTTATTTCTCAAATTCCACCTGTGCTTCCCTATAATGAGCTCATCTTCGTTACCTGATTTTCATAAACTGATATTATCCATTTAACTTGATAATTTTATATTTAAAAATATTGTATTGGCTCAAGGATCAAAATATCCCAATCTGAAAAAGTACTGATAAAGCATTTAGAGACTTTGAGCTTTATACAACTAGACAAAAAAAAGGTAAACATAGGTAAAGTTGTTTTACTACCACAAATCATAACCAAGATACTCTTGTGAATCAAAATGTTCTTTATGAAATAAAACAGGGGTTTATTGAGGAACAAATCTACATAATAACATTCCTTCTTTCCTTTTCTTCCCCAATCAAGCTAATTCTGCAGGCATGCATGAGCATTTAATTGTATAGCCTTGGCTGAATCCTGCTGGATTTAAGTCTGTTCAGTCTCAGTGAACATTGTGAACATGGTTTTAATTTCTGTCGCACATCCATATCCACTACTAACCACAGTAACTGTGCTGAAGTGAAGGGAGACTTTAGCTCAAAGTACCACTAAGTAGAAGTGCAGCTTTGCAGCACTGTGAGCAAATCTGACTCCAACATGTATGCTCATGTTTGATCTCCTCCTTTATTCTGGTTAATCCCATTTTAATACAGTCTTTCTGGTGCCTTGTATTTGTATTTCCTCCGGTCTTATGTCAGTGAGTGTTGGATTAATCACCTGGCATTGTCGTGTTTTGTTAAGCGCCATGTAAGAACAGGAAATCTGGCTCCCCTAAAATAGCTTGTCGGTACCACATGACACACGCTTTGTGACAGGATGAAAATGAAGCAATGAAATAATGACACACTTTACACAAGCAAGAAGTTGCTAGAGAAAAAAATATATATGCAAGATGAGACTACACACAAGAAAAGGTCATACGGTAATGAGAAAAACAGGTAGATTAAAGTCTGTAAATCTGTACCAATGGAACTTAAATGGTCTGGCTATGAACAATCCAAACTTGGAAGTTTATGTGTGAAGAGTACACAAGGCCAGGAGTGGATGATGGCAACTGACTAAACTCAAAACTGGTGCAAAACAAGGGATGTCAAACTGATGAAGAAACAAGAAGAAAACAATAAACTGACTGAAAATCAGATTAAACAGACACGTTCTTACATCCTCACATCCTCATCCTACGGTAAATCCCGCTCCTTACCGCGGTAGAAGCTGCCCACTCTCCGAGGCATGGACTCAGTGAAGATCATCCGGTTCTCTTTGGAGGATCCTCCGTCTTCGCCATGAGGATCGTGGTACATCCCGACCTAAGACACATCGCCCAAGCACCCCAAACACACACAGTCACACAGCGCTCTTCAGTATCGTCAAGTCGCTGACAGCCTGAAAACCAATTATCTCCGCATTCCGGTGGCTATCGCATTCTCTACTGGCATTCATCACGAGACATTTAGGACAATCTTAGAGCCTGTCAGTGAAGCTACACGTATAACAGCGACAGCGTGCAGTGAGGCTGTTGATCCTACGAACAGAAAAAGCTATGGAAACCAGCAATCAGAAGCGATGCTGTCAGTGTTTTGGGCGGGGAGGAATGTGGGGGGTCGGACCTCATTTTTGGGGCGCTGTGTGTGAAAAGCAGCAGTGTTGTCCCTCGTAGAGTCTTTGATGGGGGCACAGGGGTGGCTCATGTCTTTAGGGGACTGCTCACTCTGTTGGGAAGACGGACAGGTGAGGGTCAAAGCAGACTAGAGAAGCGGCACAAAGCAGTGACAACAATGATAACGTAAGACAGTAACACTCCCAACACACACATATACACACACACACACACACACGCGCGCGGTAGTTCTTAAAACAGTCATACTTTCGAAGATATTTTTTTAAAGATATAGACATTTCCAATACATTACATCTATTAATTTAAGTAATTAAGCTTCAGTGTATGTAGGAAATGGCCTGATTTCTGTGAATGTGATTTTTCTCATCCGGATGGAACAGCTGCTGCCTTTAACCGCAGGGGAAAAGCTTCCCTCTAAGCGTTTGTGAAACCATCTTTGAAATTTAAGAGTTCTGGGGGTTAACGCACTGTTGGCATAAAAACTGCATCAAAATGCCAGATTCCTTTCAAACTGAAGTAATTACTGCCTCTTTGTTGGACAATCTGTCCTTTAGAATGATTATGTTATTATCCATAGTGCTGTGCTCTTTATTTTCTATTTGCTACTGAGTGAGTTTCCCATCAGGAATACATGTAGATGAAAATGTGGAAATTGACATTCTAAAGTATGTTTCAGTATTCAGTCAAATGAGAAAGAAAACAGATTAATTTTAAGGGTGAAACCTGACTTGTGGATAGCTTTAACACAAATGTGGGCAATGTGTTTTCTTTAACTGCAGACTTGGATGCAGTTCCACTTGGATGTGTTCCACTCTAATAAGTCCTGACGTTTCCCCCTCTTCTCTTACAAACTTAATGTTCCAAAGCCAGATAGGTTAAAAAAGTACCTTGTTATGGCTTGGAAAAACAAAAAAACTTAAAATGAAAACTTACTAAACCTTATTAGGTGACCTATAGACATACACTGGCATATTAAGTGGTGTATTGTTTCTTAACTGTTGGATTGGGAAATTGTGATGTCAATGGTTGGACAATGAATTTCCCTTAATATCAAACTAATGGTGAATATAATATTTCAACAGCTGCTCAGCAAACATTTCAGATTTCAGCCCCAGTGAAAGAAGTTACTGTCCATGTCAGTGACTTCTGAACCATTATGTAGCTTTTTAAGCCTGGGGGAGATTATATCTTTTGATCATTTTTGTGTATATGTTGCTGTTCAAGTATAAATTTGTTGTGACATTTGCTGAAGGAATAAGAAAAAGAAAACCCAAATGGCGGAGGACAGCCCTGCTTGCTCATGTGCCATAAAAAGCCAGTTTTCCCAATAAGGATGTAATTATCTGTTTCCATGACCTGAACCTATTTTAAGCTAAAGGACTGTGCAATCTACAATTCAAACACAAAATGTAAAAACAAAGACTATTCAGAAATTATTTATCACTGAATTCCGACTGCAAAGTGCAGTTACCATGGAGACAGGCCATCTCCTGAACCCCCCTCTACACCCCGCATACTTAGAAAAAAAACGAGGAATGCAAACAGAGTCCAAAGTGGCTGGACCCCCCCTAATGGACCCTTCCTTAAAACCGAAGGGGTTCAGTGTTAGCCTTTTGCAGACCCGCAACCCTCCGGACTGCCACTGACCCTCACTGTGTCATCAGTGCAGTCTTCCCTGGAGGAGCTCACAGAGTGACCAGCCAGGGTGGTCCGGTGCTGCAGCTGTGGAGAGAGAAGCTGGAGGCTACTGGCTCGTGTCGGTATCGCCTGCCCAGGTGCAGGCAAGCCCGCCATCCCACTCTCAACCCCATGAGGTCGGTGGCGTTCCCTTCTCACATACATGGAGTGGCGCTGAGGTCGTTGCTGAGAGGAGAAGGGGGAGGTGTAGCCCAGGCCATAATGATAAGACTCGTGTGGGGAAGGCAGAGTGTGAGTGGAGGGCATCCCTGCTCCACCCGGGTCTAATAGCTCTGGAGCACCAACATCTTCTGGAACAAAGAGCGGAGTTAAAAGTTCGAAGAGCTGAGCATATTTTTGTCTAAATTATCTGTTTAACTAATCATTTGTCAGTTGAACTTTATGAGAAAACGTTTTTTTTTTCAAACCTTAACTCCAAAATACGTTTACAAGCTTAAGTCATAAAGCTCAAAACTACTAGAGCACTAAAGAAAGATGTTAAAAAATGTAAGTGGAGCATAAATTTGAAATGAACGAACCTGGTGCTAAAGATTTATGTCTGGATTTGTGTCTGGATGAGGAGTCGAGCGTGCTGCTCTCCATGCGGGCATTTTGGCTGCTCCGGGAAGCGGGGCTGTGCCCAGACCGATCGCTGTGTCGAGCGGAGGGGCTGCCGGGGGGCCCCGAGGGGCCCGAGGGGGCGTTGAGGTCCAGACAGCTTGCGGGGAAGAAGCGTGCGCTGGGACCCGCCCCCGCTGTCGCGTTGGGGTTGGGGTCATCGAGGTGGAGCCGGCCGTCACTGAGGTTCCCCACGGATTTGGCGTCGCTCAGAGCGCTGTGGCTCTTGGACAGGCTGAGATAGGAGGCCGAGCTCTTAGACGACGAGGACATGGATCCGTGGGCGGAGTCCGCCATGCTGTGGGCGTGGCGGCCGTGTTGTTTCTCTGCCCCGGACTGCAGGGTGTTGGTTTTGTTCTCCAGGAAAGTGTGGCGGCCGGCCTGCTGCTGCTGCTGCTGCTGGGAGCGGGAGGAGCTGGGCTTGCCGTGGCCGTACTTGGCCCCGTGCCCCTGCTCGGACAGCTTCGGAGAGGGTCCCAGGCTGAAGTCGAACTCCGTCTTGCCTTTAGCCTCTTTGGGACTGAGCAGGTGCGGCAGGTTGTTGTTGGCCAGATCTTTGTTGGACGAGGCGGAGCGATTGAGGGTCTGGGACATGAACTGGCTCTTGGGGTGGAGCGTGGGACTTAAACTGGAGGGAGCTGGTTTGTTCCCGTTTAAGAAACTCTCGTTGCTCAGGTGATGGAGGTCGCCGTGGCGAGGGAGGCTGGAACATTCTTTGCTGTTGGAGCGCCGACTCGAGCTCTTGTTGTGACTCCTGTAGGGCCAGAGACAGAAACAGGAAAAATACTCATATCAGTCATAGTTTTATGAACAGAAACCTAGTTTTTTGTGTTACTTAAATTAATTCTGCCAACAAAAGTCTCAGAAAAAACACAGAAGTTAATCAATAAGTGAACAGAATTTATAATATAATTACAGGTGAAAAAGACCTTCTTGGTTCCTGATACTGTACATTAAGGTATCAGAAATTATTACTATCTTAGAAAACTGATACTATGACAAAACCTTGCCATTTCTTTGAGGGCAACTTTGGCTACAAATGCGTCATGAGATGAGCTGTTGAAATATAAGCCTAATATTAAGTCACATCCAGAGCTTAGGGTTCATCTCCACCCACAGCTCCTAATTATGCTAGATTTGTTGTAGCTCTAAAGTATTAATCCTTTTGCTTAGCTTTTCCCCCTATTGAAAGCAAATTGTCATCAGCAGTTACATAATTCACTTGACTAAAAATAGAAAGGAGCTAATAATACTCTGCCACAACATAATCTGAGTTCCCTAATAGGATTTGTGACATTTTGTTTGAGTTTTAGCAACGTGCTCTTTTTGAACAAGGATCAGCAGGCAGGTATGCGTGAGCTCAAACACTTATAGTATAATTTCATGAATAAAAATAAATAAAAACAGAAAGATTTATATCAATCTTTACCCTTTAAAACCATATGATACGTAGAATCTATTGCATCATTATGTCATTAAAGCTTTCTGTAAAAAACAACCTGTTGTGTAGACAATTTCCCCTCTATGTGCAGTTTTGTTTGCAGTGAAAATGTGCATAAAATATGGATTCAATTTAATTTGTCCATCATAAGACTTTATGAAGACATGTTATTTCTTTTTATATTTTCTTTTTGTCAAACAAAGACTTCAGATAGAAAAGGTTTGTATTTTATTATCCATTTTTTCCTTGGCCAGTCTTTATAGGGTGTTAAATTTCCTGTTAAATTTCAACCAAAGCATGGCCCACGCTTGTCACTGACAGTTACAAAGTTGTGTCAGCATTTTAAAAGTATTTCATATCTTTATACATGATGAAAAATGTATTTTATATAACTGGGTCAGTACTTTAATATTGTTTTCTTGTCCAGTCATGTAGAAACTGGCAGGTCTCTGTAGACCTAAAACTGCTCGTAGTTAATATGAATCACGCTTCATGGCTCCTTTTAAAATATGCAGTTAAAAAATGATGCCGTAATGATAGTAAAGTAATCCATCCCTCCATCTCTTGGCACATCCTTATAAGATCACTTGGGGCCCAATCCCAGGCGTATCGGGGTGTTTGACTAAGTCCACCACCAGGCTAACACAGAGAGCCACATCTAATCAATTCAGAGGCACCAGTCAACCTAAAATACGTCTCTGAACTTCAGGAGGAAAAGGGACCAAGGAAAAGCTCCAGGGGTAGAGGAAAAATACAAACCAACGGTTTTTGCAGCTATCATAGCCCATGTCAAAAATCAATGATGTTCAATTCTATCATGTATATTTAAAAAAAATCCCCTCCAAGCTGAGCAAATGACTCGGCTCACGGACTCCCACAGCAAATTTTCCCGCTCGCATGAATGGATGATTAAATGAGTAAATCCAGACATTCGCTCAGACCTAGTAGGAACCGTGTTCTCTCCGTGGTGATGTGTTTTCCGCTTGGAGGAGCGCGGCGGGTTGGGAGATGCAGGAGAAGGCCTCTCTGCCGGCCTCAGGGGCTGGAAGACTGGATGATTCAAACTCTGCTCCGTCAGATATCGTTCAGTCGGGTTTAGCAGCAACAGGTTCTGTTGAGGAAAGACACACATTTGGGTTTGTATACATTTCAGTAGATTATCGCTTATTATTATCCAATAACACGGCTGGTTTCGCTATTCTGAATATATCTCACCTTCATCAAATCCAAGATCAAACCATTCAAGATGCCCTGGTACCTTCTCTCCAAGGTCTGAGGATGAGTAACTGAGGGAAACTGCCAAACAAAGAAAAGACACAAACACCGGTTGAAATCCGTGTCAATTTTCAACCTTCTTTTATTTTTTTGCTTTTGCCTTGAAGATCCAACATAAAGTAGATGTCTCGCCAGCAGCAAGCAGCTCTCAGGTCGAATCACACAGATCACACTCAACAAAACCACCAGGCATGCGCACGCCACACACACGTTCAAAGTCCTGTTCAGTCTTCTGGGATATTTTTCTCTCGCTGCTAAACTGAACACCAACCACCTATCTCATGAGTCACAGCAATCCACTCAGTCATGGTGCTGGGAACACTGCCACAAAAGAAACAGATAGAAGGACGCAGAGCTGAGAGAGAAGGAGAGGAGATTTTTAAAAGTGAGGAGGAGGAGGATGAGATGAGAGGAGAGGAGAAGAAGAAGCAGCAGAGAAAGAGGACACAGTTGGATGCGGTTAATGTTTTCCTACCCTGATTCCATGAAACCGCGGGTTATTGTAGAATAGTTTCATCTGTTCTGCCGGCAGTGGCCCCAAAACCTTCTGAATGGTGAAGAGCTGGAGATGAAATGATGCAGCATTGTAAAGATGACTGAATATCTGAATATCTGCTCCATAAACTGTTTTCTTATTTTGCTTGGTCATTAAATTTGGCCAAAGCTAAAATATAAAGTCTGGAAAAACCATGTGGATTTAGAGCTTACAAACACCAGTCACAATCTCCACAATTAAAAAACCTTTAAGCATGATTGAACTGTTATCTTTTTATTTGGAATACAGTTGATCTGTGTGATAAATAACTGATTGACCTATTGTCAGAGCAACTGCTTATAAACTGTAAAAAAAGACCTCCATAAAAGTAGCAGTCGCATTGTAAAAAGAATATTATTTTATCAATAAACATCTACATTTTCAAATTCAAAACAGGCTGTGTTGATATCCAAGTCAGACCAACTAACATTCTGACCTGGAACCTACCAAGTCTTCAAAAAAGGGTTTTAGCAAGATGTTGTTATGGAATAACAGCTGCCACAAGCTGTTATTGAATGCATTTTGGAGCAAAGAATGTCCAGTCATGGGTCGTATTTGGGGGTGTGAACAATAAACCTGTTTGTTTTTGTTTCTTCTGTTTACTGGAAGATTTGCTGGAAAATTGAACCTGAGGGGAAGCTGCAGAGGTTCAAACAAAAGAAAATCTTCCTATACTTGCAAAGGAAGACATAGCACATTGAAATAAAAGGCTGATATTCGATGAGTTGAAACCTGAAAGTGTTCGTATTGCACCTTTACCAACCTGATCAATCTCACTCTCCCCTGGAAACAAAGGCTGCCCATCACTGAGCTCCCCGAGGATACAACCCACCGACCACATGTCCACTGCCTTTCCATAGGGAGCTCTGAGACGGGGAGAAACTGACACATTAGTTTATCATTCCTGTATAAATATCACTCGAGTGAAGAAACAGCGACCCCAGTAAAGACCTTGTTAATTAGACGGTAGGGTAATTATGACAGTGAAAATGAGAATGGGGATGTTGGCGAGAAAAATAAAGCCTCCAGATTAACTAAAGATGATTACAACAGGGTGACATTTTCCACGGTGTTGCTAGTGGCATGGAGAAAAAAAAATACAGATTTTATATTTCTTTGTCGAGAAGCTGGTAAAAACGATGGTAATTTCTGAGCAAAGGGAGCTCAGAGCCTGGTGAGAAATGGTGAGAGATCTGGCAGCAGGGAAAGCAAAGGAGCGCTGGTGTTGGAGGGAGAGAGTATTTGAGTGGGCGGCATTCAAACACTGTCTCAATAAATGTTCCAGGGCATTTACTAAATCAGGCTACAGCAGCAAGGATAGATGACGCTCGGCTGTCTCCGAGCTAGGATGGAGGTTCGATGCAGCAAAACCAGCAAACCGACACATTAAAACACAGGTGAAAAGAAAGAACGAAAGAAGCCAAGCTGAAATTTGATCTCAGGAAAGAGGGAGAACATGTTAGTTCAAACCTCAGCGGATTCATCTTTATCTGCTTTTTTCTGGTGATCCGATGATGCAGACTTAAAACTAAACGTTAAAATGCTGAAAACAAGTTGATGAAACATCTGACTGTAAACAGAGACTGTAAAAGCCGTCATGACACCGAACAACAATTAAAAGAGTTTTTTTTTTTCTTTTTCAAACATTCTTTGATGCAACAGATAGTTGGTCACACAGCAACGACAGGGAGATTGCATTTAGAAGAGGGAAATAAATATATTTTCAAAAATCTGTAGCTTGGATGAAGCCTCTGCCTTTTAACATCTATCGTGATTGAACTTTATCAGATCAAGATAGACCAACAAACAGAGCTGGCCAGGAAACAGGAATTACCCGTTGAAGGTTAAATGAGGGATTCGCTCTTTATTATCTTTTGTTGCCAATCTCACAGGAAGATGTGGAAAGTGAGCATCATTTTGTAAGAACACGTCTGAAGATGTTGGCACTCAATGTCCTGATAAAACAGAACACCCCAAACTGCAATCCTGCTAACCGACCCTTATCTTCTTCTTTAAAAAACGTAAAAGATAATGTTGCTCCCAACTCGATCACTTACATTTTCGAGCCACTGAAGCCACACCTCATGGGAGATTGTAAAAAATGCCCTTGTTAGATAGTTAGATATTCCAGTTTCATATCTAACGCTAAACACAGTACAACCAGGAGCCTTTTTTCTTATTCCGTCCCCCACACAGAAACAGCCTGAGCACATTAATATTCCATGCATCCATAAGTAGTCCTCCATGATCCACTGTCAATAGGTAGAGCATCATGGGCTGCAAATGTGTGGAAAGAAGGCAAGGTAACAGGCACTAATGGCCTTTGTGGATCTAGGGGACAGTTAGTTTGAGCACTCATTGTTACTTCTATCTATCTACCACTGGTGAATTGTTTTTTTTTTGCTCTCAGATGACAATGGAAGGGTTTGACATGGTGTTACAGGATCTAAACAGTCCATTCAGTCCTTAAAAATCTACATTATCACAGGAATACACAGTTTTGTATTCACAAGTTGTGATCCCCACTGATGACACTGAGCTGCCAACTAAATAGTATTAAAACTACAACAATGAAAACATAATTAAACTTAACTCACATTTGGGTGGACTGTCTTAAATAAACAGAAAATCTATCAGCCAATTTGACTTAGCGAATTCAACAGATTTGCAACATATCCAAATGCATCTTATTAGAGCTTACAAATTAGGTCAGTTAGAAAACAAACTCAAATTGATCTTTAGCAAACAGCTTAAAAGATTCAATCAGCTTTGCAGTGCAGAACAAGCTGCATAATGCAAACAACACTAAGCGGAGAAAACAATTAGCAAAATGTCGGTGGGTCTCATGGCTTCGAAATAATGAACAGACAGAGAGAGCTAAACTGGATTTTCATGAGCTGTTTCACATCACACACTTTTCAAATGTAGCACATCCACTTTGAATGGCATCTAAATACATTAAGTCAGCCCCCCCCTCACATCCCCTCGTCCTTTAATCGAGCTGAAACATTAATTAACTGACTAGACGGCTGTTTCATGAATATTTTTTGTGTCGCCTGCGTGAGGCGGAACGTTTGCACCTTCGTTGCATCACCTCGTAATGTTCAGAAGCTACAGAGGCAAAACGGGCCGACAAGACTGATGCACCCCCGAACTGCACTCCACGATTAACGAAAAGAGATTCTTCATCAAGGGGTTCACTGGATAACCATAAAACATGGCAAAGCATGTGTCATAGAGAGCAAATATGCTTGACAAATGATCAAATAAATAACAGGCTAATCATAGATGAAAAGGAGTTATTAAGGCCATGAACCGAGTTCAAAAAGTTATTTCTGAACGTCCGGGGAAAAATATGTATCTTCAGATTTATGGAGTAAAACAAGTTTTTGAAATAGGAGACACAACTGTGTCGCTGACCAATCAATCACCCCCTTGAATAAAACCTGAGTCCAGGCTCATCAAAATGTAAGTAATTTGTACATCTGTCCACTTATCAAAATTCTTATAATTTTTCAATTACTTTCCTGATGTTTTCTGACACGACTGACTGTGAAGAACGATTAAAATGTATTATTTTATGTTCATTTTAAGTTTTGAAATCTGTGCTGGTGTCAGACTTTTGCAGTTTTGTGAACCTGTTAAAAAAGAACCTTCCCTCCTTCATGTCACCACTCTACTGATATTATGCATCAAATTATATTTGCAAAGCCAAATAGTTTCAAATCAATCACGTACATCAAAAAGTTTTTTGTTTCATATTTTAAAATGGCCTCCTGTTGGATTCTGGATGCCATGAGTCCTGGTTCAAGCACAATGCCTTAATTCTAAAGTATTCCTGGTTTCCTCTGTTTCTTCTCTCAGAAGTCACGTCGACACATATGAGATCTTTAAAAACTCAAGAGCCTCGCAATGGTTATATATAGTTATCTGGTGTTATTCTAAAATTGATTACACAACCATTTTTATTCTTACTACCAGTTATATATAATTAATTAGTTCTTCTGGACTGAGGTACGGAAAGCTGAAAGGTCATCAGAGGAATGCAGGGCACCCCAAATGACAACTACATTTAAATTCATGCTTGAAATAGAAGAAAGAAAATAATAACGAGCTAACACAATTGGAGTCTCACTTCTTTTTTGAGGCACACTCACAGACGTCACAGTCACGCTCACACAGGAACTCACCCCAGCAGCAGCTCAGGTGAGCGGTACCACCTGGTGGCAACATACTCTGTGTAGTTGGCATCTGTTCCTTCTGACAAATTGCGAGCAAAACCTGAGCCGGAAGAAGACGGAAATGAATACATAAAAAATACCTGATTCTGTCAACACATCCACGACCATACTTATACATAAGTGATCCAATATTAAGAAAAGACTTCTGACAATTCCGATCATTTAGCTGCAAACACATTCTTTGCTATGTGACCTGACTAATTAGACAGAAGGGTGTCTGATATAAGTGGCGTCCTTTTGGAGCATGACGAGTTATTGAATGGCAGCTCCAACAGTGAATAACAAATTAATCTCGCCTCAGCTGACTCAGTAGCACTGTACTAACTAATTATGCAGCGATAAATGACCAGGAGATTTTCCAAATATTACTCCAAATGTAGAATCAACACCTAAAAACTATGAAAAGTCTAAGACTAAAATTATCAAATTATTTCTGTGGCTGATAAATTAAGTACATTAGTTGTTGCCTGACATCAACAAGCCTTTCTTTTCTCTGGAAATTCAAAGTGTTGGTTTGCAGCCACCCAAAGACACAATTAGATACATAAATCACAAAGGGATAAATCAAAGATGGGTTTTTTCACAGGGATTTGAGTCCAAGATAATAATAATGATAATAAATAAAACTGGGAAATGTGGGAAAAAGGGAAATGAATACCAGAAAAAAATCTCTTTGGAGTCGCTCTGGACAAAAGCGTCTGCTAAATGCATAAACATAAACATAATTTTTTTAAAAGTTTAATAACTACAGCTTGATTTGAAATGCTGCTAACTCTGTTTTACAGGGAAAACAATTGTTCTACTGCATTACATATCAGCAAAGCCCAGACGACTCACCAAAGTCGCAGAGTTTGAGAACATCCTCTGAACTGATGAGGAGGTTCTCTGGCTTGATGTCTGGGGAAAAAAAGTAGATGCGTTCCGTCACTGTGCTCCCAATACAATTATTAACAAAACATTTCAGATTTAAAAAAGAAACAACTTTCTTTTGTATGTTATAATGAGCAAAATTATTTTCTTTCTTTAAGCTTGTGTCATACGGTTTATTTGAGATTACATGGTGACTCAAAAATTAATACTTTAGTTTTATTTACTGTATTTACATTTATCATGGCAGTCACTGAGGACATGTGTAATTGTGTTTGTTGCACTGAATTTAATAAATGTTTGGTCCTGAGCAAAGACGCTGACTCCTCTATTAGTCAAGAAAACGGTTAATCTGTGAGATAACCACATGTCACAGATGAGTGTAAATGATACTCCTTTTTTAAAGAGTTTCTAGTGTAATGACTAGTTGTCGGATAAATCCAGGTGTAGGGAAGCCTGGAAATTCAATCAAAAGCAAACAGAATCGAACACTTTAAATGATACCCTGTGAGCAGATGGTTAAATCTTGTTTCACATCTCTCTGTGGGAGAGGATTTGAAGCTAAAATGTTGTTCAGGAAAATGTTTGCTCAGTACGGCGGAACATATCCGGACTGCAAATGAAAACAATTACAAGAATGAACAGAGCAGCATGATGACACGGCACACATAAGGAGAGTGATTAAGGCTTTCTAATATGAGTGTCAATGAAGGCCACTAAATGTTCTCGTGGTAATTATCTGCTTGATGTGCCATTACAAATGTCATCTTTAACATATTTCTCATCGAATCTAAATGACAGTCAAAGTACTGAAGCTGGTGTATATGAATACATAAACATGTGTTTATCTTTATTTTTTTTAACCTTTTCAAATCTTTTAAAAGATATACGTACAATAATAGAGATTTTAGATATATCCAAGTGGTACATGTTTCATCTACAGAAAATATATTCAGATTATGTTAAAATACAGCTGAAGTGATGTCAGTGACATTCTCACAGTCTGACATAATTCTTTTTAAATATAAAAGTGTGCTATTACTAGAAAACTCCACCAGATTAGACAAGGGTGATATTTTTGCAGGAGAGACACGAGCATGGAAATGAGGACAGGTCCCACACCTCTGTGCACTATCTCGTTCTTGTGACACCAGTTGATGGCTTTGATGAGCTGGAAGATGTAGCTGCGGACTTTATCGGTCGGCGCGCCGTTGGGAAACTCCTCCAACAGCTCGAGCATGTTCTGCAAAACACAACAAATCTACCTGTAAACGGTGAACAGGGAGAGATTTTTAGCCGCACGGCTCCCGAAGTACAGTATGGAACTTTCATTTAGATAAACACTCGGATGGAAACCCTGGCAACACAGTGGGGAATACCATTACTCACCCACAGCATATTTCATATGTTGCCATGGCAACCCCTTTTTTTATGCTTAACTGAGCAGTCTCGACATCATGAAACCTTAACGGAGACTGGATACAACAGCATAAAGAAGCAGGGAGCGTGCACGGCATGCAGAATCGCGGCGGATTCACAAAGCTGACCCTTTCCACATATTCAAAGACCAGGTAGAGCTTCCCCCTCCGGCGGAAAGCTTCTTTCAGCTCAACGATGTTGTCCTGCTTTAGAGTCCGGAGCATTTTCAGCTCCCGAAGAGTCGTCTCCTTAACCTCCTCATTTTCTGCAGGGAATCAGAGAGGGAAACATGGAGACGGATGAGCACTGGTTGGGTTTCCTTCCTAACCACGACTGTGGGCTCTTTCGCTCACCTTCACTGTCTTTGAACTTCTTGATGGCCACCAGCTCATTGGTTTCCTGTGAAGAGATGAAGTGTGCTGTCAAGAGCTTTACCTTTAGAGATATAAGATATAAACAGACAACTGATCGAAGGTCAAAACGGGGGAAAAAAATGACAAAGGTATCCACTTTTCCACTTTCCAAACACAATCGGTCAGACAGAAATTGTTCTGTTTATATAATCCAATGAGAACTATATCAGTTACATGTCTAACAACAATGTTGTTGTTGTATAACAACAACTATTTATTCATTTTCTCCTTAAGTGAACTGCATAAACATCCTGTGCCCACAGCATTCGGTCCGTTTTTGACAAGACAAGGCGAACAAGTATGCTTAACAGCAGTTTGTTTACACACCTAGCAGTTATGAACAGCATTATTGTTTACTTCGAGCTGTGTTATGTAACTCCAATGTTCACTCTCTTCTGGCTTTTCTTTTGATCTCTGCCAAGTCTGAAGGAAATTTCAGTTTTTTCTCTACTGCTAAAAGCTCCTCTGTAATCACCAGGTTGCTGTTAGTGTCCATTTACTGCAGGTTTAGGGTTTTTTCAAAGAAAAATGCATCCTGAATTTGACCAAAACAACCCCATGAGTGGGGTGGACCAACAGCAAAGTGAAGTACAGTAAAGGTGAAGTAAAGAAATGTCAAGCAATCAAGCTAACTGGATCTATTTGATAATAACCGCCTCTCCTTTCACACTGGTGCATTGTTTTCTTGGTATCATTTTTGGAATTCAAAATAAATGATAAAGTTGCGCATCGTGTTGTTATGACTCTTCGATGTGTACAGCTTTCAAAATTGATTCTGCTTCTAGTTTGGCCCTGTTTGAATACAAAATAGGCAGAAATTCATGTTGTTTTCCCTGCAAAGGGTACAATATCTGACCTTTTGTAATGAAACAGCAGCAATTTATAAATGTCTCCATGTTGACTGGTAGCTTTGGTTTCCAAATAGCATCCCTTCTTTCTTACCTCTCAAGCTAATTGCCTTTTTTTTTTACTTTGATCTATTTCACAATTACTTTTGACTAGCTACCATTTCTCCAGGGAACTGAGTGTAACAGAAGTTGTCTCTTAACAGCTGTTGAGTCATAATAAATGACACTTATTCATCTTGAGCAATTTATATGAAATCGGGTCAAACCAGAAATGTTTGCCAATGTGGCATCGGGGGCTCATAGAATTAATTTAAAGGGGAGGATCCTATTTTCTATTTCATGTCGTACCCTTTGGCTGTAACTGGCGAGGACAATGGGCATAAGGGAATTACGTCATTCTGAACAGAGTCTGAGGCTGCTCCCCTGTTTCTCCACTGTCCTTTTGTCTAACGAGGGCCTGACAAAAGGACAGAGGGTCAGACAACAGAAACAGCCAAAGTGGCGACATATCACCAGCAGTGCTCTCACAAACACTCGCCAATTGTCTGACTGGGGTTTTAAATAGAATCTTGTCTGCTGCAAGATTGTGGCTCCAAAGGCAAATCAGTTTAAAAAAAAAAAAGCTTTCCAGCTCAAAGAGAGCTCGACACTAACTGGGAGGTTACAGTTCAGTGGAAGGATTATATTGGGAGAGCAAATTTGAGGATTTGCAAAGTGTTGTAAAACACACACCCGCAGCCACTCGGCACACACACGTCATTTCAAAGTCTGAAGCAGTGCTGACGTCGCTTGCGTTTGTGTGCGATGCCTTTGACCGCCATTGATTTACCTCTTTTGCCACTTTTCAGTCAGCACGCTTAAAAATAACCTCCAGGTTGCTAATAATCTGCTGACGACATAAGAGCCACAATCTTAACATTAAAAGGTACATTTCTATGGAGGATTTTCCCCCCGTAGAGCCATTTCCTCCATGAATATTTCATTATCTCATGTCATGGTAAAGAATAAATAAAAAATGGCCGTTGTCTGCTGTGCCGTTTGCAACCCAGTTTGTGTTGGTTTCTTACTCTGTTTGACCAATAGAGAAAGATGCCTATAACTGAATAAAGGGGGTTGAGGAATTGGATTTAAAGATGAATCAAAGAGCAACAACTTAAATCAATTGCTGAGCTGAATTGCCACAGTGGGCAACAAGCAAACCAATGTACTGAAAGTGTACTGAAAAGGGAATTAAATTCAATCAAAGTATTGACTGAATTCACAGAAAACTCAAGTTCAGTTCAAATATCTATTCACATAGTGCATGAGAATTTCTTATTTCTTGATTTTAATGTGCACAAATGCTATTTTGAGGATGCTTTGGGGATGTCTGACATACTGCTGTCCAAATACAGAAATGGGATGGAGCCCAGTCTGATTCAAATGCAACCTCTTTACCACCAGTGAGTAACATTAGCATAAGTTGGGTTTGCCTTCATGATGTTTTAATATTCCTCCATTACCTTCCTGTTAAGATCAAGCAAAAAAAATCTGCAACCATTTTTGATAACCTTTGGAAAGAAATCAATTTTCAATTATCACTTGTAATTAATTGTGTGTCCTCTTTCACTCCGATACTGCGCAGAGACATCGTATAGGCACCAGGAGACCGGCTACTGTGTAGGTTGTGGTATTTTCACTCCAAAAACACAAATTCAAGATAACACATAAGCCTCCATGCAAACACCCACATACGCTAATACAACACTTGCAAAAAGTGGTAGAACATTACACAAATCCTGGCACACGTTAGCTTGACTAATTAAATGTTGCGTCAAACCGTTAATGCACTGTAAGTGTGTCTGTAAAGTGTATAAAATGATGACAGGAACACACATTTAAAATGATTTTCATTTCTTTGCAGGACACATGGGGTCTCGTGTTTTACCTGTTTGGGATTTAGCCCAGCAAGTCTAAAAGTTTTAAAGTTCCATTACTGTCCCAGTCATTTTCAGGACTGCTGTAGACTCCTAAAAAAAGGGTGACCCATTTATCAACAGTGTAGTCTCTGTATTCAATAGCTCCCTCTGCATCTCCCCCTCTCCCCTTGCACACATCTTGCTCCTTTCTCTCGCTCTCTGCCAGTCTTTTCTCTTTTGCCCTGCTTCCAGCTGAGAGAAAGTAAAAATAACTGCTCTCTTGCAGCAAAGCAAAATTTGCTTTTAGTGCCATGGTCTGAGTCTGGCTCCACATGTGAAATGAATCCCCTGCACTGTTATGTCAGAACCAAACATGTTACATGTCACTTCTTAGAGTGGAGAAGCAAAGAAAAAGTTCCACCGCTTAACAAGGCTCCGCTCTGACAGCTGCTGGTTAAATTTTCATGCAGTGGAGATTTTCTGAGAATAACATATTCATGGTCCAATAAAATCAAAAGACTGCGACAGAAAAAATTAATCAATATTAAAACGAATGCCCCATTTTATCAGCTCAGACTTGATTGCGCTGTGTGAGGACAGTGAGGTGTTGTGTTAGTTAGATGGTTCTAGATGACACACTAAACAGAGAGCAAACCTAAATAAAAGAATTCACCCAAGACCTACAGTACAGCACTCATACATTGAATTGGTTTACTGTTTTTGGCACCATGAAAAAAACATGTATTACCCCGACTGTATTATATGGCCCCATTGTTCAAAGTGTAGGAAAAATGTAGCGCCTTATATCCACAGTAAGTTAAATTGTCGTCAACGGTCAGGACTTATACTGTGAGCTTTTAGCACACTGTCTCCACAATGCTTTGTTTGGAGTCTGTAATGGCAAATTATGTACATTATGTACAAATGATGTACATGTACACATAATCCATCCATTATGTTCATGTACAAATATAATCCATCCATTTTCTGAACCGCTTATTCCCAAATGGGGTCGCGGGGGGACTGGAGCTTATCCCAGTAGTCAATGGGCGAGAGACGGGGTCACCCTGGACGTTCCCCCAGTCCATCGCAGGGCCACACAGACACACACAAGGACCAAACCATGCACACTCACATGGAATGTCCAATCAACCTAACATGCAGGTTTTGGGATGGTGGGAAGAAGCCGGAGAACCCGAAGAGAATCCATGAACTTGGGACTGGCTCCAGAAACACAGGCCGTAAAAATTGAATCCTTTTCTGCTATTAAAATAACCACCTTTCAGGTGATTATATTACCTCTACAGTCGGTGCATTAATTTAGTGTTTGGCAGCAGAATTATCATAGCATCCAAACTATATGCAGAGATAGTCTTGGTACCTCGCTAAACTCCCCCCCCTTCCCACCCTAAAATGAAGTCAAAAGCTCGATGCCCTGCAGCTGGGATAAACAAGATTTATACCCAAATGTGCATCTTTCTCACTCAATCAAAAGTTAGCGGAAGAAAGTGTAGCAGCTAATGGGAAAATATCACAGAAAATGCCAAATACCATTTCTAACCTCTGAGTGGGAGGGCTGTGTCCAGCCTGCCTGCAGAGTCACCCACTGTGTTTTTGTTCAAGCACAAACACACAAACACTCTAGGTGGACCTTTCCACCGTACAGGATGAACTCGGATGGCTCAGCTTGCACATACTCATAAGAAAAAAAACATCGCTCGAACAACATGACCCGCTGCTCTAACTCCTGCATTGTTAGCTTTCCTAATAATACTTTTTCTGAGCTTATTTTTGCCATGAATTCTGTTGAGAAAAAAATTTGTTATCGCACAGCTTAAAGCCGACACCAGGCATCCACCCTCAAAATAGATTTATACTCAAACCGTTATAATTAGACATGTTTACAGCTAGGTACAATAAATGCCCTCGCTTTCTGTAGATAATTCGGTTGTCATGGCAGCTGAGCATGAGGGAGAATTTTCTAAATCACCCCCTTGGATTAATGCTTACAACTACATATAATTGAGGGTGTATGCATTTTGAATGATAAATGGGGGTAGTGGCAGCTACCAAATGGTCCAAATGGACTTAAATGTCCTCAGGCACTGGACAGTGTCTATAAGAATAGAAATAAACAGGATTTATAACACTCAAAAATACCAAACTACATTTTCAGAGCAGCAAGATGACCATCACCATGGGTTTACAGTTAGAAATGTTGTAGGACGGTACGTCATCATAGTCCAAAGGACAATAAGCCTTACTGGTACTCTCTTCTCAGACACACATCTATGCAAATTGTATGTAGACACGGTGTTTTCAGCCGACCTAAATCCAATAAACCCCTGATTAATTCAGTTTCACTCGACCTGCAAAATTTTCAAACACCCTGAAGCCAGCAGAGAACATATCTAAAGTTTTGGCTTGGAGCTTATTCAGAATATTTCCTTTTCATGGATTAAGCCTTAGTATCTAAAATACCTAAACACAAATCTTCAAGGAAAGCCTTAACCTGTTTTTTTTTATCCCTAATATCTGAAGCCATTTTTGAAAAATGTGGAATGAAAAACCTTCCCATTGACAATGAGTGACATAATTTTTTAGTCAATTTGAATAGTTGATCAAAAGAGCTCATGGAAAATGCAGCTAATTTCAGGATCTTTTAATCAAAGCCAGATCAGACATCTTTAGTAAAGAAAAGTTGTCTCTGATTCCTTTTATAAACATTAATTTATCTTCAGAAATGACTAAATCCATCAAAAGGGATTTTCCAAGCCATTTTTTTTCATATTCTTTTACTGGCATGCTGCAAATATCACTGTGCTGCGGTAGTTTTCTATCTACACTGTAAAAAAACATTCCAAGTCGGCTTCATGTTAGCTGCGTGTGACTTTTTGAGAGGTAATTATTGTTGACAGCCATGCCTAAGTGCACTTCACTCTGGCTTGCAACCACTCACAAGCAAATTACCAAATGAAATCCTCAGACGACGGCAGTGAGTTTTGGTGGATTTTTCCTCTATAATGTAAACACCTCAGCCTTCTGAGCATCACTTAGTTCTCTGTGTTTATTTGTTGATCTTGTTAGCCTCTGTTTGAATGTGTTTTTGGTTTGAGCTTTTTAAATCTGTGGTTGAAGAAAAATCCCAGTGAAATGCCTGGGGTGTTAAAAGCTTGAATGATGGATCTGTTCCCAGATCTGGAACAAAAACAGAATGGATTGATTGTTTCAGAACTTGAATATAATGATTAAGTAGCACTTCCTGTTGGTTTCATTTCGCCGCACCTTTGTTAGCAATCCTGACTCATCTCCTGTAACTTTCATGCCGCTAAATAAAAACAATGGTAAATAGCTTGTGGTAATAATTTCTCCTCCTCTGTCTTAAAATTTTTCAAATAATTGTCATCTGCCTTATTGTCAATCATCATTGGTTTCGTAAGCCAACACATTTTCGCAAAACATTTGTTCTCTAGGCTCGCAACGATAGACGCAAAGAAGTTAGAGCAACATTTCCCTGTTTTTAGACAAATCAATGACCTGTAATCCGAAAAGAAATAAGAAAAAGAAAAGAACGTTAGGTCTATGGGAAAAGGTAATGACTTGCATTGCATTTGTTATTTTTCATCTAAAAAAACAATGTAACAAAAAATAAATGAATTGCATTAATCTGAGAAGAAAAAGCAGTGAGTTCTGTTCTCTACACACTGTTCATTATATATATATGTATGATCAGAAAATGTAAATGGCCATATCTGTGAAAAAATAGAATTGTCTTCCATTGTAGTTTGATATTTTTCTCTCTTCTCAAATGACAATCTTCTTTATTTCATCCATTCGTCTTGTTGGTTGACTATTCAAACCATTTTACCCCCCACAGAAGTTTCCTTACAACTCGTGTGTTGCAGGTTTGTCAGAAACGTTTGACACGTCTAAAAATAAAACTGTGGTCTAAGAGGAACCTGCTGATCTGTGCACATAGCAGAGCACAAATCTTTAAAATCAATCTTATCTTTAAGTTATTTTTATTCCAATCCACCTTTGAGTTAACGGCAGCTTACAGGAAACCACAGAATGTTTTTTTCTGTGTGTGCTGAATGTCTTTTTTGTCAAATTATACATATCACACATTAGCCTCAATATCATTCTCATCTGTGTAGCATCTCTCTAAGAAAGAAAGATGCAAAGAGGAAGTCTCCTCTGTAGGGCTGGCACACGAGCATTAAGTTTCAGGACTCCTATTTCCCACAAGCGTAAGAGATAAGAGACTGAGAAATGCTGCTCAGTCTTAGATTGAATTTAGTTACAACCACTGTATGACTGCCTGACTCATTACAGGTTCTTTTAGTGGTGGCATTAATCCATCATTAACCCGGCTCCTCACTGATCAAGTCATTTACACTGACTGATGGATATGAATGTTTTAAAGTCCCACTTTGCCTCTGATTGTATTTGCTAATGTGCATCAATATCTGCTTTACTAATTAAGGACCCTGTAAAGAAAAGTCAGCGTGCACAACATAATTATTTAATTAAAAAAATAAGAATGCAATATCCCAGATATTTAAAACAACCTATCATGCCCGTTTGTTCTGTTCCCTCCGCATGGATGATGTGGTTACAGCATGGCCCCACTTAAAATCACCCCGATCTGTTGCAACTTGATATGGTTGTGCGTGATGATGCATAACATAGGTTTTTCGTACTTTCTGAAACAAGAAACATTTTGAGAAAAATTGTGTTTTAGTTGAAAAACGAGACATGTTTAAGTGACAGTTAGTAACGTTGCCTCACTGTGAGAAATAAGCAGCTAAGCAAATGGATGGATGTTTAAATGGTGCCAGAACAAAATAACTATTTTGTCTGTCTAACCAAAACTGTATGTTTAAAATACATTTAAATATATCCGACTGATCAAATTCATACTAAATCAAGCATCTCAAAACAAAAATGCCTAAATATGCAGGACGGGATCAAATCCCCAGTGCATAAATCTCCATCTATGTTTGCAAGGCAAAAATGAGTCAATGTTCTCAACAGATGCTGCAAAAATGCCCAATTAGCATGTGTTTTGGTAATAAGGCTATAGCACAAGTCTTTTTTCCTATAAGGCTCACATTAACATGTTTTTATCTTTTGTGTAACTAATAAAAAAATTGCCAATTGCAGACTATGAGTCAACTTATTATGTAGAACATTTCGAATCTGTCTCTCTTTTGGCATAAAAATATACTGTACATTTTAAATCGGCAGCATAATTGAACAAAATCACCAATCAAGTCATTTGAAGATTACGTGTGCGGTGAATCTGGCTATGCTGACATACACAATGATCACACACTGAGACTGTTAGAGTGATCTGATTAAATAGCTTGACTCACATCTAGGAGGGATATTTAGGTGCTGTTTTGAAATGGGGTTTTACGCTACTAGCCCTAAGTTACATTCATACTGCAGTTTTCTGCCAGCAGAAGACTTGTCGAAAGCAAAATATGTGCTAATATTATAATTTGCCAATTGACACGGTGACAACAACCATGCACGCTCACTTCCACACTCACCGCTTAACCTTTTTTTAAGATTCAAGCCAAGAAACACAGAGAGGCTGGAGTCTATCCCAGCTGAACAGGTTACCAGTGTATCATAGGCCAACAATGGGAAAATGAACGCACAAAGTGCGCACACTCAAAAAGTCAACTTAGTGTCACCCGTTAACCCATGTTTTGTGTCGTAGACAGCTGGGATACCCGGAGAAAACCCACACATTGTAAATGGAGGACATGCAGACTTCAAATAGGAAGGCTGCAGCTAGGTTTGTACAACCAAGGTCTCGCTTTAAGGGAGACAACCACGCTAGCTATCACAAAGGCGTCACGTGGCCATAATGTTATCACATTTTCACACAAATAAGAAAATATTACCTTATGCCTGCACTTCAGCACCACTCCATATGCTCCTAAACAAGCAGAAATACAGAGAAAGAAACAAAGGATCAGCACCATGCACATTTTCAACAACGTAATCATGTTTTTAGGAAAGAAGTTACATGGAGTTAATAAAAAGGCAGGAAAATATGTTAGAGCCACCAAACAAACAACATTAAGAGAGGAGGAGGTATATTTACTCTCCCACACACTAAGAACGAAAATTACATCCAGAATGACTGTACTTTTTTGATTTAGACAACAAGGATGATTGTGTCTGTTTTGCGAGGACTTGGTTGATCATTATTGTTACATACTCAGATGTGCAACTGATGTTTTTAAAGCATTTCATCCAGGGCTGCATTAGTTAAAGTAAATTACTTTCCATATCTTTTGACTGGGATTTGTTCCCATTTGAATTCTACATGCAAAGTGTTTTTTATAATGCGGCCCTTCGTCTGCAAAGGTCCATCTGCTTTTGTGACAATGCTCTTTGGCAAACAGTGCCAATAGTCCATGGCACTTCAACTACGTCAAATACAGCTGCTTTAGCACTTTTTCCCCCCTTTTATTATCCAACACTTTGGAACAGTGCTGTAAAGTGTTGTATTTCAAACCGAGGCACATTTTATTGAACTAAACTGAATAGTTTTCGGGGGCTAGAATTGGCGAGTTCTGCTGTTGAGCATCTAAAATTGTACTGATTCACAAACACATGCTTAACCAGCTCATTTCAATGACAATCAAAGCTCTTCACTGTGAGCAGAGCGCATGCATATGAATATGAGGTAGAGAATAAGCAAACCAGAAGTGGGTAAATTACAAACAACACCAAACAACACAGGCGCTGCGCATGTATTGTCAGCATAGGTCATTTAAGCAAGATAGTGATTCTGAAAGAGCTGACAGTTGTTGACAATATTTGAGCAGAGCTTTCATTCTTATTCTTATAAAATAAAAAGAGAGAAGCAGTCTCCTTCATCAAATGAACAATTTATGATTGATGCTAAATTATGTGCTTTTCTGATGTAACAAGATGACTGATAATGATTCTGCCGTCCCTGTGAGTAAAAACTGCAAGAAAAATGATGATATCCGTAAGCCGCAGAGGTAATTGAAACTGAAGAATCAGCAGTTTACGTAAAAGCACAGCAAGAGTCTGTTGTGTTCAAAGGGACGGCACAATAATGTTTGAGTAGGCGCCCCCTCTCATTTTAGAAAATGCGTCTATCTGCCATCATCTGGGCTTCACAACAAATGTTTGTGGACACAGATCTTGACACAAACAAAAGAAGTCTCTGAATACAACAGACAGTTGTTCGCTTCAATAGGTTACAAAACAGAAACAGTCTTTTAACACAAAATCTCAGACAGACAGATTGTGTACACAGGGATAAAACGTTTCACAAAACCATCAATGAGCCAAAAGTTGATTGGTCACAATTAAAAATAACAGATTTTACACCCATCCAGGCAGGGATGAGGCTCAGAAGTGAGGGGCTTTTTCTTAAATGCCGTTCTGGAGTGGATGAATGACTGAAGGCAGGAGAAAATGACAGCTTTTGAACAGGAGTATTGCTGCCTTACTGCAGTTTGCATATGAACAAACCAGCCTTCTGTTTGGGAAGAGATTTAACTGAAACTCATCTTTTTTTGTAATGGAGAGAGGTTTTTTATTCTGACAAAAGTAAACATTATCTCTGCAGAGGGGCTTTATTTTGGTCTTTGAAGCACGGTGGTGGTAGTTTCATGTGTCTTGTTTTGCTGCATTTGAGCCAAATGTTTGTTTAATTTCTTTACTTAAGCTTTTTCTTTATTTTTTTTTTTTAGAAAAATAAAAAAAACTGATTACATATTTGATCATATTTTCGCAGAGATACAATAAAAATTAAAGAATAGAAAAACGTTTCGGCTCAACTCAAAGACTCCTAATTACTCAAAAGGCTGATCTTGTGCTTTTCCTCATTTGCGAATTTCTAAAGAGTCAAATCCAGTGCTTTGCTTTGCTCTTTGGAAAGAACCACATCTTTTCCAAGCGTGGTTTTGTTGCAGCCTATGCAGCTCCACACTTCTTGCCAGTGGAAAGTGGGTGGAACGTGCCCTTTGAGCTGCAGCAGCACTTTCAAACCGAAACCCCACTGTATGTGCTGCATTTCAACACATCTCCGATTTGATGTTACTTGCTTGATAAAAAATGAAAGGAAATGAAAAATAAGGACTCAAGGACCCGATCACCGCAGAGCAGCGGAGAGAGTGCGAAAATCTAAATCTTTAATTCTGCAGATGAAGGTAAAGCTATCAAGGGAACCTTAAAACCGAGTCAAGCAAGACAGAAGAAAGCTTCTCACTGAAATGAGATTAATTATTCTCATCAAAGAAGGGAAAAAAAAATACACAGCCCCGCTTTAGATAAACAACTTATTTTTCTCGGCCGTGAGAATGCAGGAAGTTTCTGAAAAATGGAGGAGGAGACGCCGCCTGTGATCTGACAGCAGCAACAGTATGAAAGATAGTAAAATATTCATGACAAAATCCTCTGGGAGATTCTTTCTCAGTATCCTTAGCGTCCCAAATCACCGGTATTACAGCTGGGGGTTAAAAACAGCGTGTAGTGTCGAACCAGGTGCGCGAGCCACCCACCTTCTCCCACAATGCCAAGGACTTCAAACTTATTCATCACATCACCGGGGGTGAGGGCCGCTCCAGCCGGTGAATTGAGCTGCTTGGGTTTTAGCGAGGGGACTCCGGCTTTGACCAGCGGCTGGCAGAGTGGACCGCAGACTCCAACAGAAACATGGCGAGCGTCAGGCAACATGCCATCTTCAGTTCTCCTCCAAAGTAGTTTCTCTTTTTATAGAGCGCTCCTCTTTTTGTATCAGCTAAATCTGTGCTTTTCTTATAAGCGTCTTATCTATTTGAATCAATTTTTTTTTAAGTGTTTCCTTGGTCCATGTCTTTAAGTAGGCCTTCCGTCCAAAGCTTCACTGGGGCGCATCTGAAAGACAAGGCGAGGCAACAGAGAATCAATAAAACGTGTCGTCGAATGGTTTTGCTTTCGCTCGGTCGGTACACAGACGGCGGGCGGCTACCTAAAAAACACACAGCTGCCAGTTCAGAACATTTATATTCACGGGAGACGACGTGAGTCTGAGTTCAGCACATCTGCTGCAGTCAGCAATGCATCAACGCGGAGGGTCCAGAAAAGGCGTTAGTTTACAGCTAATGAACACGATGCAACAGAAGTGAGGATGTCGTCTCTTAATAAATGGACGGTTTTTAAAAACAAACGTTTCAACACAGAAGAAAGTCAGCGTGACTAAGGTGAAAATGGTTGTTTTGTCTGATTAAAAAATGAGGGATCACCGGATGAGGGTGGAAGACACAGGCAATTTCCAATAGATCTAATCCAACAAAACACCAGGCCTGCTCACAAGGAACACATTAAAATGATTAATCTAACTTAAAAATATTTTTAAGATGGCATTAGTTTTACAACTATCTCTGGGCCAGGCAACAGTTTCTAGACTTGGCACAGATGTCAACAAGATGTTGCACACAGTCTGAAAGACATTGTTTTTTTTGTCTAAGTCTATGGAAAGCATCCAAGTATAAGCCTAAAACTATAAATTAAATGTTAAAAAGACAATCTTAGGTCAAATGAGACCAAGATGAATGTGTCCGGCTCAGCTTTAATCAAGCATATTTGATGTGAACATGAACAGGATCAGCAAAGATTTATCGTCCTGTCAGTTGAGAGTGTGGTCAAGTAAGTTGACGCTGGTTTTCATGCAATGCTCACAGTCAGATGTGATACACAGGTTCAATGGCATCACTTTTTAAAAAACATTTTAGCTGTGTGACCTGCAGATCCATTGACTTTCAACAAGCCTCTGTTGTACCTCAATGTAGATATGGACAAAAAAATGTCTGAAACGATAACCAGCCAAAATACCTGCATTTCAGATTGTGTTAGTACAGCGTGCCATGCCAAACCTTTTAGAAAACTATTGTTTCCTAAAAGTTTGTTTTTAGGTCACTTTAATTTCCCCTCTACTTTCCAACAGGGTGCTGTGCAGAAGTCTTGTTCCACCTCATATTTCTTTATATTTTCCTTTCAAGGAGCCATAATTTCTTTAAATATCTTAAAGTGGTTTTGAGCAATATTTCTCCAGGCTTTCAGAGGGTCCTTTAAAGTCTTTTCTCCCCTATTCATTTTCAGAGGCGTGTTTTTCTTTGTCTATTAAACTTCTCAACTTATATTTAGCTGTAATTCAAGCATGAAAATGTACCCAACTCAAAATATGAACCAGTGCTAAGTGTATGCATAACACAACTTAGCAAACAAATCTTTTACCACTGTGACACAAGAAGCCTGTATCAAAAAATACCGGAATTTGACAGTATTTTTGCACCAACAACGTAAGTCTATAAGAGCTCTTTGCTGAGAACCTTGCATATTACAGCATGGCGTACAGTGTGTCCCTGAAAAACTGAAGAATCAGGCAAACAAATAAGTGACAGACCCCCAAAAAACTATCTGACTATCTGAAAGTGATCCATTTTAGAGGAAAAGATGCAGCAATGATGTGACACATGATCAAAATGACTTATGGACCTTTAGGAAATCCATCTACTGTTCACTGAAGCTTCATCACAAGTGTCTCAGAGGAAGAGAGGGACAAAATAGCTTTCAGAGAAAATCCATGCCGAATGACACAATAAGTGGCCTGAAAATCAGTGGTGACAGCTCAAATCTATGTAAGCAATTTGGCATCATCTTAATGGAAAGCAGAACCAAAGGCAGCCGACATCCATAGAAGAGCTTTGGGGTGTCCTTCTAGAAGTCTGGGGAACTAATCCTGAAGACTACTTCAAGAAATGACTAAAAAAAAGCTCATCAAGGACAGTGACTGAGAGTATGAAGAAACATGGTCACACTGAATATCGAGCTCTGTTTTTTTTTAAATGTCTGCACGTATTTCAATTAATCATTTCCTATTTTCATAGCAACAAAAAAAAACAGGGATGGCTCTAGCCATTTGCACGGCTCTGCAAATTTACATAATGATGTGACCAGTTTGCTTGACATAAAGAGGGGGAATCTGGTCCAGAACGTCCCCCATCCATCCATCCCACCGTCACAGGATTAAACGGTACAGAAAATGGATGGATAGATTGGATAATTAAATGCCTCTTTTATATATCTGAATGCTGCTGGACTGGAACCACTAAAGCTTCTCACTGTATCTGGCCAACTTCTTTTGTATAACGCTGGATGGATTCAGCAGTGCAAAAAAAAAACACTTTAATGTTGATTTGGCTCATGTGCTGTGTGGGCGTTTTCTTATGCAGCGTACACTCCACACAGCTCAGTCTTTCCAGGGGAAGAAATAAGGTGGATGTGGATGCCATACATGACTAGTCATTTAAGGATATGCTGTTGCCTCTGTGAAGAGATTAGATCCATAATGTATCTTGGTTTTAATAGGTGAGCCGTGTAGCTAAGCCAGGAAATACAGCATCCACTGTGATGTAATACTGTTACTGGAAAAGCCTAAAGCCCAGTATCCCAAATAAACACTGTTGCTTTCTAATGGAAGGTGATGTGATGGGGAAAGTCTTGGACTATACAGATAAAATGGGTTGCAAATGTAACTGTCGAAAAACAAACGCCTGTTGGTGTCAGCAAGGAGACCCAAATCGTAAAATAAGTGAGTTTGGGGAGTGTAAATTGAATAGACTGGTGCGTGCGTCCGCATGCACGAGATGATGTGTGCCTGAGCATGAGGTGAGAGGGGAGGGAGAGGGAGGAAGGGGGAGATAGTAATGCTGCTTTCTCCGCACTGAACTGCGTCTCCCTGCTCGCTGCGTTGCAGTGCGCGCCACCATTCCATCGCTGTCCACGCGCTCCTCAGCCCAGTTAATGGAGCACGTTCACGTTCAGTGTTGCAAAAAAAAAAACAAGACCCTCCAAAAAAATAAATAAACAGCGTTCACCCATAAACCCTACAACGATTCCACACGCACGCAAAACAAATCGACGAAAGGTGGCCAAATCCACCGAGGCTCTAAAGACAGCCTCTCTTTCTTTTTTTTCTTTTTTTTTTTACCTGATGCGGTGTGTCGCCTGCGAGGTGATGAGGAAGCTCGGTCTGTGAAGCAGAGAGCATCATTCCCGTGAAAACGATGATGTGGGAAGACGGAGAAACATCATGTGGACGAAAAAAAACCCCCGGGGCCCGTGCGCGTCGTGACACGATCAGATATCTCCTACTCACTCACCCTCTGGATGGACGGTGCACCTGAGTCCGCAGGCATAACGCCGACGACGAGAGAGGGGGGGGGGCGAGGAGGGGGGGGCGGGAGGGGGGGTCAGTGGACCGTCAACAGTTCCTCCGAGGCTCCGCGGCTCTTTGCCCCAGCATCAGCTGCTTATAGCCGCGCACGCGTCGTTCCTCTGAGCGACGCAGCGCACAGCCAATGGGAGCGCGGACGTCTGCGCGTTCCAGCACTGCTCCCGCATCCTCCGCGAGCTCGAGATGAAATAAAACTTTTCATATGAGCAGGCGATCAAATGCCGTGCATCATTTTCCAGAGACGGTCCAGAGATCGTTCTGCTCCAGTTCTCGACGAGCAGCCACCGATTAATAATGGATAGTCTTCCTCTACCTCACTCCCCCCTACCCTCCCCTCCTCTCCTCTACCTCCCCCCTATTTCTCTCACCTACAGCTCCCCTTCAGGAACACCGCACTAATTGGTGGAATCACCGAATCCACCGGCGTCGACCCATTTCGTAACGACCAGATGCTGTAAACACGTTAAAACGCGTAAAATCAGAGGCGGTTTGTGCCAAACGTGGCCGAATCCCAGAGCCATCTGCAAAAACTTTAGCAAAGAGGGACGATATCTGAAAGAAAGAAATCGATGTCGAATTGTCACATGATCAAATCACAACATTTTGAGGAGGATTTCTTACTTTAGATGTCAGGGAGGTATTTGTTTTAATGATCTTTCAGCAAGAGCTAGGGTATTTTTGGTTAAATGAATTTTGCAATACAGTTATGTTAAAATGGGAAAACAAGAGTCAGAAATACTTTATTTTGAGGTTTAAAAATATATATAAATATCTGTGCTTGTTTGATAAACCTCCTATGATATCAAAAACAAAAATAAGGACAATTCTATTTAAAAGAATTTAACATTGGACAATTTTATATAAATTATTTATATTATTCAATTTGACCCACAAAACTAACTGTTTTACAGTAAAGTAGAGTGAGTTACCATTTGGAAAAAAAACAAATTGAAACAAATTTCTAAAACTATATATCAGCTTTGAATGGATAAAATGGAAATTATGTTAAGTCGTTTCTAATTTCCTCTCATACATGCAAAATGAAACTAAGCTTGACATCAAGTGCCTCAGTGTAATCCTACAGAAATTCATGTTAAAGTGGTCTTTTCAAAACAAAAACTCATATTTCTAATCACGTTTGTCACCTGAGAAAAGCATTTAAACGTTGCAGAGGTTAGAGGATGAAAATCTGAGGTAAAGTTTCAGTATTAACACATCACAGGTGGAGGAGCAGAGAGACTTTCTACAAAATTTTGGCTGGACTTTCTTCTGCAGATGCAGCTAGCAGAGGTATCCAGTAGGAAAACTCTGTTAACCAAATATTGGATGCATGCAAATTCCCTGTAATGATAACAAACACATTGTACTTGCATCACTGCATTTTAGATGGAAACATAGCACCTATCAATTATTTTCACCACAAAGACAGAGTTTGAATAGAAATTATTAAACTCTCTGGATTCAGTGGAGTTTTTCTTTTAAAGAAAAACCAGTTGTTTCTTATTTTTACTCATTTATTGGCAATGGTGAACTGGAATGCACCTAAACTGAGCCCGTTGTCTTTTCATACATTCCAGAATTATAAAATTGTACTACACAATATTAGGAATATGCACACAATAGTTCTCACACAATAAAATAACACATCAGCCTCACAATCTCTATGTGATATGAAATATGGGTTTATATTTTCTACTTAAAGGCTATTTTGAGAGGAGTATTTCTGTAAAAGGGACTCATTCCTTCTCAAAGAGTTGATTACAGAAGTATGGTTTAATAGATTGACTTTATTACAGTTTCGAAAGCAGGAACTGTCAAAAGTTTATTCAAAGTCTACTTCTTAGATGACAGAAAATGATTTGAGCTCTTCTTCAGTCACTATGGATTTGAGAATGACCCCACTCATTTTTCCTTTTCTTGATATTTCATTTAAATTCCCTCTTAATATCTTAATTTTACCATCCCCTCGCATAAACGTGACCTTCCCATTTGAGGGACCGGATCTCCGTTATTTCCATCACCTTCTCCTGCGAGACACCCCAAAAAGCCACGACCCCGAGACGCGAGGGGATTTCGTTCCCACGTGACCCGCCCTTTATTATCAAACTCTGACGCCGGGCGATTTCTGTCTTATTAAAAACGACTAATTAATAATTCCCCTCCTCTGCCCCCTTTTTTTTCCGCCTGTCCTGTAACCTTCCAGTTGGAAAAAGCTGATTTGCAGCACTGTGCGCTGGACATGCGCGGAGCTGCAGCGAATATGGCGGCTTGCGTCTGAGAGAAAGTGAGGAGTCTCTCATCAAAACAGCCTGCTCTCACGGTTGGTACGGCTCGTGTCTGCTTCCTACTCTCTCGTGCTGCAAATGACGGCTTTTCTGTCTCGTTTTTTTTTTTTGCGGGGGCAGCGATCGGAGGGGGTCATCTTTCCCTGTCCTTTGTCCACGCACTGAGGGAAATAGCAGAGCGTGTTTACAGTGGATATGGGGAGATGCGGGGGGGTTGTGGGGGGGGAAGTGGATGCTCAAGGGTGCTATGTTGAAGTCCTTTGGTGTGTATTTAGTGGGTCCCCGTGGAGGATTGCGTCCTCCGTGGACCTGGTGGGAACCCGGGGGAGCGTTAGCAGGGCTTTTAGCCTGCGTAACGAGAGCCGTCCCGCCCACCAAAATGTGTCCACAACCCGGGAGAAAATGCGTCACAGACTTTTTTTTCTTCGCCTTTTAAATTGATCCTTATTCCCGAAGATATTCCCACCCACCCACAAATCCCAACCTACAGATATCAGCTCATTCTGCCGTTTATTTTAAGGATCCAAACGCGCGCCGTAATTCATCCAAAGTTTCACCATACGCGTGTCTCTCCACAAAGCAGTGGGGGGGGTTAAAAATAAAAATAGCGTGCCCAACGAAAGTTGGTAGATAGGGGAGATTTAGGGTACCGTCTCTGAGGTGACGCCCTGCCGCGGTTTGCACCCCCCCACCCCCCTACCCACCCACCATGAGCCTTTCCCTGTCCAAACTCTTCCGCGCGTCAGAGGAGGAAAACACCACGAGAGCCAGCAGCGATCATGGTTTATTGGTGTAGATTTCCAAGTTTATTCCATCCCTGCCTGATTGATTATATTGAGCAAATAGCTTGCCCTGTTTTATCCAACAGAAGGATGAGCTGAAGAGTAAGTATAGCAACCCCACGCACTGACCTCGTGTCTTCATGAATGAAGTGAACTGAATATTGGTTACCAGCCATTTAAAAAATATATATATTATGCTAAATTAGAGACAGTCTGAATCAAGTTTGTTCATTGGAAATTTGTTGGTTTCCAATAAATCAGTTTGTTGTTGTTGTTGGAAATAGGTAAATCTTGTCTGTGGAAAAAATGGAGGGAATGGTTCTAAATTGGGAGGGTTTACTATTGTAGGATCTCCCATTTTTCATTACCTGTTAAGATTAAGTTTAATAAGTGATTTTGTTTGTGTTTTCCCCTGGTTGGATTCCTCTGTGTCTTGCTTGCAGGTGAGGGGTTAGTGATGGGTTGAGTTGAACAAAACAGCATGACCTCACATCAGAACAGCTCCAGCTTGTAAAGGCTTTTCTTGAAAAATGTTTTTTTATTGGTTATATTTCAGTGTTTGGTTTGCTGCTCGGAACATAAACCGCAGCAAACTGCTGACAGAACAGATGTTAGAAAGTAAAGGGAAAAAAAGCCATTGTGTGTGACCTTTAAAGTCTTTAGCTTTATCTCTGGAAGAACATGAAATCTGTGGCTTATTTGCAAAAAAAAAGACTGATTTGTTTTCGTTGATGCTTGTACTTTAGCTTCTTTTAAGTGCTCTTAGGTAGGAGATTTGAGTGTTCTCCAAATGTTCAGGTCATAAAAAAACAAGAACTTCAGATGAAGCCTAGCATTCCCTCTTGTAAAGACTCCCATGCTGTTGATGATTGTTCAGCTTCACGAAAATGAAACTGAATCATCGCATTTCAAAAGAAGACACCTGTTACATTTTTATCTGTTTGATTTCACAAAAGGCTAACGGAAACATTTGAATTACCGTAATTGCCGAAACTGACAAAAAATAAACAGATCTCAGCTTCTTAACTTCTTAACTGCTGCCCTTTATGGTTTCAACTGAAAAAAAAATCTGAAATGACTTGAAAATCCTTGACAGAATACAATGAAATTAACTATTAATTCACATCCCATTTGGAGACATCACATCTTGCCTGCAATTTCAGGTTGGATTTACAATCTTGTTCAATTAAAGCAATTGGATAACCAGCAGTGTGGTTATTAAACACACATAAAGTAACATCGCCATCAGCATCGGAGACATTATTGCCTGTAAATGTGACACACTTATGACCAAAAGTCACGCAATAATAAATCACTAACTCTGCCTGTTGTGCAAGAGTTTTTGTGTAGTGCGAACTTTTAACCGTCCTTGTTTTGTGAGCTTTAATCTCAGATCAACGTCTGCCTTCAGTGGAAATTGAGGTAGTAAAAGTTAAGTGCTTCCTGGCGTGCAGGGCAGTCCCGTCTGACCCTCCTGAGAGAGGCGGTCAGACCAATGCAAACAGCGCAGCGGTCTGCAGCGGAGCAGGAATCCTTTTCATGTTGGCCAGAGGACGTCCCACATCCACACGTCTTAATGGCTTTTTATGGCGGCCTGGAATCTTTATGGCCCTCTCAGACTCAGTGGGACTCACTGGAGAGACAGAGGGCTTCGGACGATAGATGCTGAAGCTCGCACACAAAAGAGATGGATATACTGCCCGATCACCAAATGATGGATTTAAGATGGATTTTCTGTCCCCCTGTTTTTGGATTGCCACTTTACTAGCTTTGCACAATGCAGGGTGTATATGTATATTTTTTCTTTTAACCCCATATGGATTTTTGAGTCATATTTGTAGAAGAAACAGTGGGGTAATAATTTAATTGTTACTGTTTCAGGGTATTAAGGATAGAAATGAATAATGTAGCAAAGGTGCTAACTCAAATACTAGAAGATTAAACTTTAATAACAGGACTTAACAACAAAAATACTCATTCTGAACCATATTTCTGATTGACAGTTGATGGGCTGTTGTTTTCTAAATGTAATCTTTCTGTCTGTGCTGTGTATTAGATGATAAAAGAGGAAACAAAACAACTTCAGTCAGACAGTGTTTTTTTAGGAAAAATGAGCTCAGACCATGTGATCATTTAGTTTTCACTCAATCCCTTTTATACATCTTCTAAATATCCTCACCTCTATATAGCTTTGTGTAATAATAATTCTGCTCAGACACATTTTTTTTTAAACATGCAGTCATATTCCAGAAATACTCAGAAGACGTCCCACTGTGAGAACAGACTGAGCTAAGTGTTTTGTTTCTTTTTCTTTCAGTTTCAGAATCTACTTTCAGACGCTTTTTTTTGCATTTTACTGCATGTGAGCTGCACCTTTTTGTGTACGGCGTTTAGCACGGAGGACAAAGACAGTGTGTTTAAAGCACAAAGTCATTTGTCTTATGAAAGAGGTGCCGCTAAAAATAAGGATTGAAAGAAGGTTTAATTTAGTGGTTCTTTTTATTCCTCGATAAACTAAAATTAGTGTCATAAAAGGGAGTTTTTCAGTGCTGGATCCAGAGCAGTGATCTGAAAAGTGATGATAGATGATGCTGCCAGCTTCCAGAGGGAAAACGAGAAACCCTTTTGAAATCTAATTTGTAATTTAATGATCTCTACATGGATGTGTCCCCGTTCTCATTTACATCCTAATTGTCCAAAATCTAATTGTTTAACCGAGAAAGGTTCATGCTTGACTAAAATACAAAAAAAAAAAAGCGTTCTCCTTATATTATCGTTGTATGTTCATGCACTCAGTCAGTTTTTTGGGTTGTGTTTTTCTCTCCAGTGTCTCTGTAGGTTAGCCTGGGTCCTTCTCCCGCAGCAGGGCGGCCATCATGGGCAGGACGCCACAAAGAGGTGAACCCGCACGCTTCGGTCCTTCTTGTTGTCCTGTCACCCGTCCTCTCAAAGAGACGGAGCAGAATTCAGTGACCGTGCGAGCGGAGACGAGCTCCTGAGAATTTTTCACGCCTCTCCCCCTTTTTTTGCTCTCACTGTGATGCAATCTGTGTCTGAGGAGCCCCAGTTCTGTCGTTTAATCGGGGAATCGTTCTGATGGCAGATCAAAAAGAGGAGAAGAAGGAGAGACGGAGCAGCCTCAGCGCCGGCTCGGCCCTCGACAAATCCAACGGTTGGCTACTCAGATCTCTGCCATGTGGCTGCTCATTGTTGAGTCTTTCATTTGCACTCTACTTTAAAAGCTTTTGTAGTTGATCCCTTTCCCAAGCTCAGTCGCTTCTGCATCAGTATCTATTTGAACGTGACTTTGTATCAGTAACTTGTAAAAAAAAACTGAAAGTTTACTCTTAAAACGATGAATTTAGGGGGGTTTTACGTTGCCGGGCAACATAAACCCACCTAAATTCATCGCGCAACAGTTGCCCTTTTGTTCTCGTTTGCTCTCTTTTGTTTGCATTTGTAAGATATCAGAGCAAATAATTTTTTTTTCCCCAAAGGAGAGCTGTTTTTCGAGCTTAGCCGTGCCCAGTTTAGGCCTCCCTTTTGCCCTCTGTCTCATTCCTGTGACGGCCTCCGTCTCGGTGCTCAACGGTTTGCCTGTGCTGTCTGTTGGCAGAGCCGTTCAGCTGGGAGGACTACCTGAGAGAAACCTCCTCCATTGCAGCTTCGCCAAACTGCTTCAAACAGGTAGCTGGAGATAAAGAGACAATTTAATCGCCAAAAATTTTTTCCATTATTATCTGTTCGTATTCGAAGGCTGATTGTCACACATGAAGTGATCTGACTAGTTCTTTAATACCAGTAACAAAAAGTGAACTCCACAGTCCATGGAGGAGGCCATTAAACGTAACAGAGGGGGGGATTTGCTGTTTGTCCACAGTCCAGAGTCCCGCCCTCCAATGACTTCAAAGCAGGAATGAAACTGGAGGCTCGAGACCCTCGCAACTCGAACTCGGTGTGCATCGCCACGGTGATGGGCATGATGGGCACGCGTCTGCGCCTGCGCCTGGACGGCAGCGACAACACCAACGACTTCTGGAGGCTGGTGGACTCCTCCGACATCCAGCCAATAGGAACCTGCGAAAGGAACGGGGACATGCTGCAGCCGCCGTTGGGTGAGAGTTAATCAACCGGAGCTCAAAGGGTGTTTTTTTGTGTTTGTTTTCAGTTTAAACCTGGAAAATAATCACTTAAAGGTAGAGAACAACTTACTTATGGCTCTGTGGGTGGATGGTGGGACGAAGGCCTGTTATTTTTTCTCGCGTTTGTGAGACTTTTGAAATTAGTTCCACAAAACTAAAACACTTTTTGTTTAGTCACTGTCCAATCTGGCTTTAATACTGCAAATTGAAACATTTGACATGTGAACCGGAGCCTGACATGTAACTCTTGGGGTTTAATGAATTACTTCTGATATTTAAAACCTTAAGATCTAAAGGGAATTCTCTCTTTTTAAAACTGTGTTTATTTGGTCGTAAAAATGAATTATTTTACTCAGAGAAATAGGAGAAATCTGCGTCTCTTCCATTTAAGTTTGAATAACCAAAAAAACAGGGCCACACTTTGCTGATTGCAGCTGTCGACCTTGTTGACAGGTTTCAGGATGAATGCGTCCTCATGGCCCATGTTCCTCCTCCGGACGCTCAGCGGGGCAGAAATGGCCCCCGCCTCCGCTTTTAAGAAGGTAAAGCCGTCAGAAAAAGCCCATCATTTTTATCAACGGTGTATTTTAGAAAAAGGTATTGATCAAATCAGTTCTGCTACATCTGACAGATTGATAAAGGCCAAAGTGGTCAAGATTTATCTGGTAAATACAATCAGCTATTAAATTGATAGGAAACACTAATTCCCGAGCAGGGCGTGCAAATTTCTAATTTATTAATATTTGTATATTCTGTTTTTATTTTTATTTTGTTTCAGCTTTGAATTTAGTTTTTCTTTTTGTTATTTTTGCAATAACCAGCCCAGACACAAGGGGGAGATACTATCATTCTCATGTTAATGATGTTCTCCAAATACAAACATGGATTTAGGATTTTAGTTTTTTATTCATAAACAACAAATAAATAGACGTGCATTAGTTTTAGTGTCTTATACATCTATTTATTTTCGTGTTGCCACATTTTTTATAGTCCTTCTAAAGACAGGATTTAGGAATTTCTCTTGAAGGTGGGTAAACCTGTGAATTGTCGTTATTAGCTTGTGTTATATGTTCACTTATATGTGCATGTTGGTGTTCTTAGGAACCACCCAGCCCCTCCAAAAATTATTTCCAGCCTGGCATGAAGTTGGAGGCGGTGGATAGGAAAAATCCCTACCTGATCTGTCCTGCCACAGTGGGGGAGGTCAGAGGTCAGGAGATCTTTGTCATGTTCGACGGCTGGCGGGGGGCCTTCGACTACTGGTGCCCTTTTGACTCCAGAGACATCTTCCCCGTGGGCTGGTGCGCCCTCACCAAGCACAGCCTGCAGCCCCCCGGAAACTTCTGTAAGTGCCGCTATCTTCAATGTTTGTTTGGCTGTTGATGCTCCTCTTATTTCGATCCCCCGCCTCTCTTGTTTAGCTTTAGGTAACACAACATTTTGGTCGCTATGCTGGCTGAAATTTGCTTTTAAATTTAAATTTCACTGAAATGCCATGCTATCACATCCTGTTTGGTATCATTATTTATGTGACACCAAAATAGTTGTGTGTCCAACAGCAGCTTTTATTTAATTTTTGGTTGGTGATGGTGGACAGGCCGTGTGAACTCTTGAAGAGCATTGTTTTCACCACTAGGGGGCAGCAGTGTTTAAATTCTGATGGCTGAAGTTTGAGCTGAGAGCAGAACAGTAGATTGTTATATAGTGATGATAAGAAATTATTTTCTTTCTGTCATCCTGGGTGATCCTGGGTGAGTGTGACATGCAGCAGAAACGGGACTAGATCCACTATAAAGGCTGACTCATTAGATCTTTTTCAGCTTACTGTGCATATTTAGTGCTTTTTTCTTTTTTTTAAATGCATAGGCTATAGGTGAATTTTATGAATGATTTGAGGGACTTGAATTCAACAACAATCATGTCGACGGCTTTGATATGAGATTGTCACTAACTCTGATAAAGATTAAGTTCTCATAGCATTGTTGTTGAATGGTGTTACAGAAAAAACTGATTGCTTTTGTTTGGTTTTGTTGATTTGATAAGTACCTGTGTGAACAATGTGTGGATGCCAAATTTAACTAAACTAAGTAAATCCTTTAAGATATTTTTGTCACAGAGCATGACAAGTGAATATAAAACCGATGGCACAATGGCCAAACGTGATTAAAAAACGCTCAGATTTAGCTGATTCATATTCATTTTAGTTTAATTTAATTTAATTTATCACATTCATTTAAAAAAGATCTAAGAAAATCATCTGTTGAAAATATTTTTTATTGTAAAGACCCTATTTTTATATGTCTACTCCCATAAATTTTCTGTTAAACAAAGCTATGAAATGTAGGAGCCATTTAAATCAGCATTTGTGTGTAGATGTTTGCAGGCCATGGCAGTTTGATATTAGATTTTTTCCCCTCTTCGTTTATGTAGTTAACTGGATCACTGCATTTTTTTTTTACTGTACAGTGGAAGTAAACATTAACACATTCAAATTAATATTGAAATTAATTTTAAGTCCCTGATATCAACTAAGCTCCTCTGAAATGTTTACATTCTTCCACTGTTTGGTATCTGAGTTTTTCATCTATTAATTAGGTTTTAGTTTTACACATTTCTGCCAATTCCTACAGGGCCTTTCAAACAAGTCAAGTTAGAGATTTGCTTCCATTTGTTATATAATTCAAGTTATAAAGCAGCAAAAGAAAAGCAAATAACTTTATACTGGAGCTGGAATCAAAATTAGGTTATTTTGTCTTAATTTTTTTAACTCATTCATTTGTTACAAAATATATATAGATGTTGTCTTTTATGTCCAGAAACCTGATTCTCAAACAATCGGGCTCATATTTGATTTGTTTAGCATTTAGAAGACATAAAATAAGAAATGGTAAGATATAGTTTTTTGATTGTTTTATTTCTGTAGAGGCAAATGAATAAATTCAGGTCCCTTGTTCTTAAACTTGGTAAATGTTAAATTTTTAACATGTCTTAATTAGTTACAACTAAACCCATATTCATTTAGTAAATTGTCTTTTATTTGTTTGACTAATTATTTGAAATTATGGAGGTTACGGTTTTTAACAGCACAGCATTTGTGTTTGCTGCTGTTTTTTCAGCATTTTTTAATTTGCTGGTTTCTTTGATCTAAATGACCCTTCTTTTTGTGACCCTGAAAAAATGTTTTTCCAATCAAGTCAGACTCATGGACAAAAATCTTGTTTTGAAGAGTTGAACTCATCTGCAGGGATTGCTTCTGTCTTTGCCTTTTCTGTGTCACTGTGGCATTTTAAACACAATTTCACAATTAAACACAATCACCTATGCTTGAATACGCTTGCAGAACATCTGGGACGACATTTACGTGGTTTCTGTGGCCATTTCAAACCTCTCTAACATTCTTTGAGACTGATTTACAAAAGGCTTCCTCCTTCTTTATGTCACTTTGACTTTCTATCCAGACCCCAGGCGGGACACCTGAAACTCATTTAGGCTAAACATTCCCAGTGGGTGTGTGCATGAAATTAGAGCTTTGGTTTATACAATCGGAGTGTGAAGGCGGTACAACCTATAAATGATCAATGTGGATGCAGTGATTGGAAAAACCAACAAAAACAATTGCTTAAAGGAGTGTATCGCTCTGTAAAAGCTGAAAAATTAAGGTTTTAACTGTTTTCCTTCAAGTTTTCCACCAGTCAAAATTAATAAAAAAAACCTTTATGGAGTAATTTGGTTAACTTTGAGCCAGTTGTTTTTTTTTTAGCTTGCCAGTTGTAATAACCATCAGTTATTACTTTTCATGATGTCCCATCCTGCTGTTTGGGCTGCAGGGCTTTGGATGCCACAGGCCTGGGGCTGTGATTGATGGAAGGTGTGTGTGTGTGTTTGTTTGAGTTGTCTCCTCATAGCTGATGGATGACAGGAGTTACATGTCTGTTGGAGCGTGTTTTCAGCCCCGTGAGGGTCAAACAGTGAAGGTTAAAACCTATGTCCCTGTTCCGGAAAGACATAAATTCTTTCCTCATAAAGGTGATCTGACAGGATGTCTGAATTCAAAACGAGCAATTATAGGCACAGCTTTCTCATTAACATAGTTTTAGAATAGATGGTATTTTCAGTTGGCTTATTTCAGCTCCTTCAAAAGTAAGAAAAACGACAATTTCTACTAAAACAATATTCTCTCCATCCATTGATGAGTGGATATGAGTGTAATAGTATCACAAGTGTTTCGAGTGTTTGACTTGCTCACATCAACATCTTAGTTATAATTATGACCGAGATACTCCAATGAGTCTGTGTCCAGCTCCTATTATCAAGAGCTGACCAAACTGCCTCATATTTGTTGTAATTTTCCTGTATACGAATATGTATATAGGAGCAGAAACATGTGTGACTTCATCCATACATATATGTATATGTATACACACACATATATTTCTGTATGTGTGTGTGTTTAAAGTAAGCACATGGTTTACATCAGTCAGCTGTGGTTCACCAAAGGTTTTGCAAAGCTTCAAATGTCTTTTAATTAATGACCTGACTAGTATTCTTAACAGCTCAGATATTAATACATGTCGTATCTTTAGAGAGGTGGACATTGATAAATATTCAGCCGGTTAGTTTACATGCGGTTGCTCTTCTTCTTACATTCCCAGGCAATCTGTATTATCTTATATTTAATGAAGTGGTTTTACAGAGCAGAAAGGTGTGTGACTTCATGGCTCCGTGTGTTTGTGAGGAGTGAAAGGCAGCTTTCAGGGCCTCAGCATGGATCTGAAATTGAGGCGCTGCGCACGTGTCCGTTTTGTGTCCTGTCATTACAGAAAGGAAGGGTGAAGGAGCAGAACCATAAATCCTGTTGGTTTTGTTTTCGTTGTCTTCTCTCTTTTTCTTCTTCTTAGTGATTGCGGTGAAGCATATCAGCTGAAGTAGATTCTGGAAGCACAAAAACTCTGAGAGTCTCAGAATCTAGTTTTGTAATGTGATCCTGTTGTAACCTCAAAAGTTGAATTGATATATGTATGTCCAACTGCGTACAACCAGGTGTAAATATAGTCTTTAGAAAAACTTAATTTACTATTACATAAAAAAAATAAAAAAAGACTTGTAGCTATGTTAAATAGTGAGGACAAACTTTGCAGAGTTTATTATGATTGTGTACCTTTAAATTGGTGGTGTGAAGGCAGGTGGAAACCTCAGTCTCAAACCAACTATGGACTTCTACATTTTTCTTTCAGTTTCACTTCTTTCACTACTTTTAATGCTTTAAATTTAAGCACCATAAATGTACATGGATAGTTTAAAGAAATATTAGTTTGATACCACTTATTTAATACAGCGTAAAAGTATCAAAGTAGGATTTGAATCCATTGTGACCTGATGTGACCCATTCATGCTTTTGCCTTTACATCAACAGATTTTTAGTCACAAACTGTTTTTTTTAGTACTAATAAACCAAAGCATAAAGATGATCATTTGCATATCATTTGAAAAAAAATTATGAAAATTTAGAAATGCCTCCAGAAGTTGAGAAGTGCAAGCTTTTGTTGGAAAATTAAAACTTTTATGAAAGGTTGTGTTAAACTAAACATATAGTTTTGGTTTGCTTTTTCTAAAATCTTTATTTTAATATATTAAAATATAAAAGTATTATTGCTTACCGAAGTGATTAGAAGTTAATTTTACTCTTGTCTGAGACAGATTTTGACAGTTTTGAGCAAAAAAAATGCAAAAAAACAATCGAAAATGGTATAAAAGACCAAACAACAAATGTTTCTCATTTCATATTTCTAAAGCCTGAGACCTGTGTGAGTTTTTCTTTGTTGAAGGCTGTCAGAAGAATAAAAAAAACATACCATTTTTTTTTAAATAGTGAAATGAAAACGTGAAGTGTTAATGAGCTGATAATTAACTGAGGAAAAGGGTGTGAGACTATAATTGCTACTACAATTTAAATGTTCTAATTAGCTTCAATCCAAATCCTCCTATTGTATCATTTTCACACAATTATGAAAGAACTCACAGTGGATTCCTCTACAAGGACTACTGGATTTTTTTGGTCTTTATCTGTATGTGTGTGCTGAAAAATCATATAATTTCTGAAAAATAAACTATGAAAAAAAAATTCTTACCTATTATCTAACCAGTCTTTATAAATGCTGCCTGTTTCTAACAATGTACTTTTATTACCTAAAATTTATAAATAATCTCTCAAAGATATGCAATTAATGATTATTTTTAAATCATATGATATTATTTTCACATTTAAAAATGTAAAGTACTCTTAACTGTTAAAAATATGTTTTGCTGATTTGAACTGCACACACAAAGAAATAAATGGGCACATTTTTACAAATGTTTAGACATTTATTGCTACTTTTGGTTTAAGGTTTTAACAGAATTTTTTTTTTTAACCTCGGGATCTAAAAGAAAGTCAACTTCTCCAGAACGGACGAAGAAGAGACTTGAAGATGCAACTTAAATGCCAGAGATATGACGCCTTGTTGCGCAAAGTTACACAAAAGAGGGTTTTTTTTTTTTCTGTGTAATTCACATGTAGGACTTAAGATGCAGATTAAGATGTGAGTGAAGTTCTCTCCTAATGCGTGCTTCCGCTGACTGCTCTGCGCCACATTGTTCCAGAGCACGGCTGCTATCTCACCGCGCCAAAGCTTCCTGATGCTGCACCGGGCCATCTTTCATCGGGGAATGTGTGAATAGTCTAGGGTTACACACAGGCAGACCCCCTTCTGGGTCATTAGTGTGTGTGTGTGCGTGTCTACGTTTTGAGCAGAAGCTTACTTATTTGTGCGCCAACTCCAGGAGTTTGGCCCTTTTCACCCGTTTCAATCAGGACTCGTCTGATCCAGTTTAACCTTTTACCCCTCTCCCATCCCCCACCCACTCTTGGAGTCCCCACTGCTAACCTCCCCCCCCCCCCCCCTTTTCTCCCCCTCCCCCTGGGGCTTACTTATAAGCAGGTGACTGATGCAGACTGTCGATATGGCCTACAGATAACATT